GCTGCAGTCTTGGTGGAGGAAGCTTTTATTCTAAAAGATGATGCACCCTTCACATCGACCACTACCATATCTTCTGAGGTATATCTATTGCCTTTTACATCAACAGAAACTACATTTTCTTCTTGGCTTGGATTAAACGTATGGTTTGCTTAAAAAGGTGGCACTATCTGGTCAACTGGTATCCATCCTTTAACTCTGATACATTCGTCGTCAGCTCTGAATTCGTACCTAGCATATTTGTACTCGGGTCCAGGCTTCAGAACTGGATCGTCAGTTGCATACTTGTAAAGGCACGTGAATCCAGATATATCAAGTTTCCAAGAATTAAGGTCCTTCTCGAGAAAGACGCTGAATTCTCCTCGTGGTACGCAGAAGTATATTGTATCGTCCAGATTGTCGGTTACGGACGTCAAACTCTTGGCAATGTACGTAGCCCGACGTTCAACCTGGTTATCCGATATACAGCAAAATATTTTCTTAAAACATGGGAACATTTTCTTATCTTTACCTTTTATAGACTATATTGAAAACGATGAGCTGTGATTGTGTCTCTCTCTCTAAAATATGATAAACAAGATCGACAAGGAAAGGCGGCACCCAATGAACGCAGCCCCCATCCGACCCAGCAACAAGCGTCAGCGGCAGGGAGCCCAGGAGGGCCCCAAAGAAAAACAGGACAGGGCACAAGGCAGAGCACGGGCAGGCAAACCACTACATCAGAATACATAATTAGTAACTTATAAGGAACTAAAACAAAACAAATAAATGATTTAATATAAGGCCCATTATGTCAAAAGGCACAGGGGAAGGGGACATGAGACACGGGGAAGGGGACACGAGACACGGGGAAGGGGGGGGGGAATAAAATAATAAAAACCAGGGACAAGGGAAGATACTTACCGTAGACGAGAAACAACAAGAGACACGAGCAAAAGTGTCATCAAATCAGTATAAAACAACATAGACATACATCTGAGGAACACAGAGGGGCGCCGCCTTGGAACGGTCAGCAGCATAATAATGACTACTGGGGAGTTTAAACCGGTTAATGGTGCACCAAACCTCGCTCTTAGCCCCACCATGTTCCTATAAACGAGACAGTGTAAATAAAATGAATCCCCGCCAAGTGAAATTCTAACAGTTGTTATGGTTACAAAAGGTTAAATAAGTAAAACACCAAAATGATCATGTAGAAACATATAAAAGTAAACCCAATGACCATAACAAAAGTACTCGATGTCTTAAAGGAAGACAGAGCAACAAGAAAATCACCTACAAGGGCCCGACGAAGCAAGACAGAAGACAAACATTAAGGCAATTCAGTCCCAAAGGGCTTTAAGAACTGTCCATCATATAGTCTCCCACTTGGCCCGTCAGATGTAATCAAAAGAGGAAAGCGTAGTGTCCAACTGTAAATGGGTTGAACACTAAGCATGCGGTATGTCTTAAGATAGTAGGGTCATAACCCCTTTTAATAAAACGTTTTATAATTTTAGTAAACACAACAGAAAAATTACAATGACCCAAGATCTTACGAAGTTTGTAAACAACATCACCGTAAAAATCAGGCTGGCTAATCCCTTGTCGCAGAAGTGTTTTTAGATCACTATTGAATTTTGAAATTAAATCAAAGTTACGATTGTAAAATTTTGTAAAATATTTACGTAATTTATAATAGCGGTAGCCCTGTTTTAATAGCTTACCGGTAATGAAAATATTTCGCTCGTTAAAATCCTTTACGTTGCTACAAGCTCTAGCAAATCTAATTAACTGAGATATATAAACTCCGTAAGATGTTGCGTGCGGTACGTCTCCATCCAAATGAGGATAATTTACTATACTAAAATCAAAGTCATCTCTTTTATCATAAATTTTCGTGTGAATCGAATTGTTTTTTGATAGTGATATGAAGATCCAAAAATGATGTAGTTAAATTTCAAGAATTCGTTTTATTAAGTTGTAGCTCCGTAGGATAAATATTAGACACCATTTGATCAAAAAACGAATTATCTAAATTAAAAATGTCATCAAGATATCTGGAAGTGTTATTAAATGCTGATATAACATCTTGTTGTGTATTTTCAGAGAGACTTAACATAAAATCTCTTTCATAGCAATACAAAAACAAATCGGCGACCAGGGGTGCACAATTAGTACCCATAGGAATTCCTATAATTGTTTGAATAGGGTATTACCAAACCTGACATAAATATTGTCTAAAAGAAAAGAGAGTGCTCTACAAACTTCGTCACAGGTCCACATAGTATATTGTTTAACAATACAGTTTGTAAAGAAGGCTTTTTGAGAGTTACATGCAAGAAATGTAACTTTTTCCCCGTGCAAAGGTTTTCTGAATAAGGGAAATTAGTTTATCATTAATTAAATTATGTGGCAGTGTAGTATAAAGGGTAGAAAAATCGTATGTACTGACAGTTGAAGCCCGATAGTTCTTAATTTTTAATTTATCCAGAATTTCACCGGAATTCTTAATGGACCAAAATAGATGTTTGCCTGTATTTTCGTATACTTTATCACAGTATCTAATTACATGTGTTTTAATGGCAGTCAAACAAGACGTCAATAAAATAGAAAGTTTAGTTGTTGTGCTAGATGTAGAATTAGCAATGAATCTGGCTTTGTAAGGTTTTTTATGTAATTTAGGAATCCATACATAATAGGAAGTTTTAGTTCTTTTTCATCGATTCGGACTTTAAGACTGGAAATATTAGTAACATGATTGTTAACAATGTCTTTTTCAGAAGCAGTAGTTTTAGAATACGCATTAGTGCTATTAAGTTCTTTATGTAAAACGTTAATGTAATGGATACGTCATACAATTATGATATTATTAGCCGCCTTGTCCGCTGGTACCAAAACAAATTTTGAGTGAAAAGCTAGAATATCCTTTTTTTTCAGATGTCTTAAAGTAAGTCTCGGTTTAGGTGGAAGAAGATGTTCATTTCCACGATAAAATTAATACGTGAATCAATAATTTTGAAAATGTTACGTTTCCAAGTAGCTAGAGCATTACTATCAGCATTTTCACGGCGACACCATTTACTTGAAAAAATCCTCAATTGTATCAGCAATCTGACAACGACAAGCATTAAAATCAATTTCTGAGGGAATTCTGTATTTAGGTCTTTTAAGAATAAATTACGAATTCTTTTGTCTGCAATAATATCAAAATTGCCAGTGATAATATGGCCAAAATCTGAATTACAGAAATTAGAAGTATTGCAGTCTCAAGTAGTTGGAGTATTAGACTGAATGTCTAAGTCAGAGACCACTTTGTTGTAATTAAATATGATATTTCTAACAGGTTTCTTATATTTATAGCAAATAATAGGTATCTCAGAGTTTTTGAAGTATAAAGGAACTGAATCAGTGACACGTTTATCACGAAATATACTGGGTAAATCGATGAAGTCTATACCTTTATTAAGGAAGGTAACTTTCTAAGCTTTGGTAACGACGTTAATGACGTCACAATACTTATGACGTCTTTAACGTAACGATGCACTGCGCATGCCACCTTCCCAATCAAAATCACAATTTCCGCTGCCAAATATATAGATGATATTGTGTGCAAGTTCAATACTAAATTTATTGAACGAGTTAAATAAAATTGTATCGACTTCTCCACTGCTCTTCTCAATGTCTAAAGAAATTTGGTATGCCTCATATATAAAAAAAATAGGTTTCACACAATGATTATTATTAAGCATGTCAGAACAAGTTGTCAGTAAATCAGTGTGCACTAAACAAGAGGGCCATAATGGTCCTGAAATCGCTCAGCTGTATATAGGCCCCTGGGCCAAGGCAAATTTTAAACCAGGGGCTTTCATTTTAATCAAACTTGGGGTAGACACCCATTAGAAAATGTTTCGTGATAAATATCTAAGCTGTAGTTCTTTGGTTCAAGTTTTTACTGTATACATATAGGGAAAAACAATGACAACCCCACCCCCTCAGAGGGGCCAATTTTGACCCAAGGGCTTTAATTGAAACAAACTTGGTAGACATCCACTAGAGGATGTTTCATGCTTAATATCTAAGCTCTAGCTATTTGGGTTTTTAAAAGAAGATTTTTAAGTTTTTACTATATACAAATAAGGAAAATCAATGACCTCCGGGGCGGGGCCAATTTTGACCCCAGGGCATTTATTTGAACAAACTTGGTAGACATTGACTAGATGATGTTTCATGCCAAATATTTAAGCACTAGCTCTTTCGGTTTTTCAAAATATATTTTAAGTTTTTTCTTTCGGTTGCCATGGCAACCAGTTCTACTTGGAATTAAATTCTTTGAACAATTTTTTAAGTTGACTACCAAAGTAACATTCCTGTGAAGTGGGGATGAAATTGGCTTAGCAGTTTAGGAGATGTCGTTTCAAGTAAGTTTACGGCCAGACAACCGTAGGACCAAAAGCAATCACAAAAGCTCACCAAGTCACCAAGATAGGGGAGCTAAAAATACCTGGATGATGTAAGACTTTTCTTTGTTTAAGAAAGGGTAATAATTCTATCAAAATTCGTTTACCAGTTATTGACCTTGGACAGGAACCTTTTATGTAATATGGTCTAAAATGAATAGTTTCAACCCATTCCGTTCAGTTGCTTTTTAGAGATGCCAATAGCCCCCCCCCACCCCACACACACACAGGAGGATGCAGACACCCGGTCATGTACAAATACAGTATAATAGCTGTAGTATTCTTCTTAAAGCTATTGAGCAATTTCAATGTAACTAAATGTAAAGTTTTACGTTTATAATTAAATTCTGAAATTTAAAGCCCTTTAACTTCAAATCTATATATTCAAAGTATGGCAATTTATCCTACAAATGCACCATTTGACAAGGATTAAGGCATTAACCAATGTCAATGTGAAATCTCAATATGATACAACTCCTATTTTTTAAGGTCATTTATAATTTAACTATGACTGCTTATTCAATCTTTCAACTTCTATTTCCATTTAAGCACAAACAACACAGCTGCTTTTGCAATTTTTTTATTTGTTTACTCCACTTTTGACAAGTTTAAGGGGAGAGAATCTAAGCGTCAGCGATGGTGACCTCAACCTCGACTCCAGGTTCGATACTGATGGAGGTGATCTGTTTGACAATCTCACTTGGACTGTGAAGATCAATCAGACGCTTATGAATACGCATCTGAAATCTGTAAAAGAAATAATAATGTAATATGACAAAAACTTACTAACATAAAATGCTCATCTATGGGTCTTTATTTAGCACATGAAAATATCACAAAATTTTAACCACAAGATCTAAAACTTTGGTATCCTGTTACAGAGACAGTCATCGAATTTAGCACTGGCCGGGTGGCCTGTGGCCAGGGAAAATTATAAGAAAATTTAGTTCAATATATAGTAGAATAAATTCAAAACTGGAATTCGGGCTAGTAAATTCAAAATCATAAATTCATTGAATTTTTTTCTTGAAATTAAAATTTCAATAAATCAAGCAGTCATGTTAATTTTCCACATTTTTGTAAGTTATCTTTAACTTTTTCATGAACTATTCTTATTTTTACTTTCACATACTGAAAATATATCACAGAAGCGAAATTAAATACATGTGTGTGTATATTTGAATCTTTGACTTCATTATCAAATAAATCATATCTGACAAGACAAGCATAAATATTTACCTATCCCAGGTCTTGGAACCTTCACCACAAGGTGTTTTCCTGGTTGTAATCCTGAGGATTTTAGTTGGCATACGTACTGGTCCCTTGACCTTAAGGTTCTTTTCCTTGGCACCCTTGATCAGGTCAGCACACACTGAAAAATATGATTTATAAAACCAATCAGAAATGCATACCAATGATTTTAATAAACAAGAAAGTATTCAAGTCTTCAAAACAAATATATTAACTTTTGTGTTTTAAAACATTAACAGCTTTTCCAGGATATTTTTTACCCAGTCATTGAATTTAAGATTTTGAATTCACTGGTCCGAATTCCAGTTTTGAATTTATTCTACTTCGCTTTTTATGGGTAAATTTGAAAATGACTTTTTAAGCCAACGTTCTTTAAAACCTAGTTTATGGTTCCGTTTTCTTGATGATATATTTTGTATATGGAGTTATTCCCTTGATGATTTGAATGCTTTCATTGATAGTTTGAATAACTTTCATCCATCTATAAAATTTACAGCGAACGTTTCTAAATCTCTCGTATCATTTTTAGATGTAAACGTTTCATTAGACGAAAACAATATTATTCACACTGATATACATGTTAAAGAGACAGATAATCATCAGTATTTAGAATACTCTTCCTGTCACCCAGTATCTTGTAAAAATGGTATTCCGTACAGTCAAAGGAAAACGTTATCGCCGTATCATTTCTGACGATAATGTTTTCAACGATTCTTTACAGAATTTACGTACATACTTCAAAGCAAGAAATTATCCTATCAATGTTATTGATGATGCACTAAGTAAGGTTTCATGTCTAACACAGGATGAGGCCCTGTGTACTAACAACAAAACAAGTGATGGCAGTGTTATTCCTTTGTTGTTGAGTATAACCCAACTTTACCTAATATTAGTAATATAATTAAAAAAGTATTGGGATTTACTTAAACTTTCAAGTAAATGTTCTGTGCAAAAGCTTCATGAAAGTAAACCTTTGTTGCATTTAAAAGACCTAAAAATCTAAAAGACATTCTCGTTAATTCTAATATTAGGTCTAATGACAAAAATGCGAAAAGTTCATCCAAATGTAATAGAAGTAGATGTACACATTGCAGCTCCATTATTGAAAGCAATATATTTAGTAGTACTAATATTCCTGGTAAGAATTATCATGTAAATAACAATACTGATTGTTCTACGAAAAAATGTTATATATCTTGTCACTTGTGATAAATGTAAAGAGCAATATGTTGGTCAAACGAAGCAACAAGTGTCTAAACGCATGAATAGCCATAGGTTTGATATTAAACAATTTTTCCGATCCGTTATTTTCGACCAATGTCGCTACACACTTTAATAAAACCAATCATTGTATGAAGGATTTTAAATTTATGCCTATAGAGATTGTCACCGATGATATGGAACACTTATTACAAGAATCATACTGGATTCATAAGCTTAACACATTATCTCCTAATGGTATGAATGCAAAAGTTTTGTACAATATATAACTTTGTCATTATTGTGCCGGTATACATATACATGTAGTATGTTTGTTCTCATATCAAGGTTTTTTATTATTATTAATTATGAGAATTTTTGTATCACATTTGCAGATCCATATTATATGTGTAATTTATTGTATATTGCTGTATTCATGAAAGATTCTGTATTTATTTGACAAAGTTTTTATTCCCGCGTTAACGTTCGGTTTAGCGTATAGTTAAACGGACGTTGCGTCATTTGTCATTTGTTATTTTATAAACGTCAATTTTTCTGAAGAAGACTAAACGTCGAAAGCTTAAGAAAAGCGTTTGTTTTTATTGAACTGATTATATACTAAATTTTCTTAAAATTTTCACTGGCCCAAACTAATTTTCACTGCCCATGGGCGACCGTGCCAGTGCTAAATTTGATGACTTGTTTTTCTATGTTTTAGTTTATTATTTATACATTTTTTTGTGTTGGAAGCTATAAGCTTATTGAAACACATGATTTCTGAATCTGCCTTGAGAGTCCATTAGACTAAGATCTTCAAGATAAAGAGGAGAAATTGGCAGGGTTTACGAATCCAATGCTCTCCCTATATTAAGCTCATTGGGCAAACTTTAAAATTTACCTTTTTCCAGACTTTTTACGTTTCTGCTGGTAAGTGTGATCCTGATCCTGTGGATAGGGGCCTCATCAGTGGGAGCTTTAGTATCTTTGTAAGACTGAAATGAAAGCGACAAATTCTATGTGTTAATCAATCACTTTAAAACGGCTTTTATGTTATCAAAATTCAGATATGATAAAAATGTTCTCTGAATCTAACTTTTAAAACAGAAACTGATTGTGACGTCTAAACTCTTCAGTTATCAATAATAACAATTTTAAAACTGGTAATTATTTGCCCCCGTTCAGACTTCCCAAAAAACGTTTTTTTTCCGGATCGGTCCGACTGTCCGTCTTTCCCAGTACCATGTATACAAAATGGCGTCGCTTAAGGTGCCAACTTTGGGAAAAACAAAAATGTCGAAGAGCGCACAGAACAGCTGTAAAAGGATGAAAAGAAAAGACAAAATTTAATGAAAAATGGAAGCAGGACCATGAATTGTTGGTGTGCGACAGAGGAGGTGAAAATGTGCTGTACGGACTGTGCCGATTTTTGCGGCAAAAAAATTAAAACAGAAAAGTGTCTTACAAATACACACACAAGTTTTCCTTTGATTTTGATTAATTTCATTCAGTCCGACAGATTTCGTTTGACACTTTTTTTAATTTTCGGGAAGTCTGCCAGTTCTGCTTCAGTGACAATTCGCCCCATTTCAATCATCATCATGGCACCATGTTCTTAATTATTTTCAAAAAAATTTAATGTAGATATATATTATTTGCATTAGCATTAAATTGCTGAAATTTCAGTTCTTCCATTTTGTAGTATGCATCAAAATACTGCTTTTTTTAAACCTTCAGTCACTTTGTAACAATAAATTTCTAGTTTCAGAAAACTGTCGAAATATATATCAGCATTCATAGAATTACTAGAAAATACAATTGTCAACCATGTATTACAATTTGCTTTTAAGCAACAAATCATTATGTGTAAATAAAACAGTAATTTTAAACAATTATCACACATTTATAACATCTAAATCATTTATAAATTATAACTAAGAAAGTTAAATAAAAATAGACAAATGTGACTATCATTTGTATATTCTTAATTATTTAACTTTCTAAGTTATAATAATAAATTAAATTATATTAAAAAGCAGAACTTTGATATTTCTGTAACACTGATATTTTTCTAAATTATTCCATCTTCAAATCAAATACGGTTACCAAATAAATGCAAAATTGAAAAAAATACCAAAACTATAAATATTCTTCGATCCAATTTAATTAAAAATGTTTAATATAAAGTGGGCGAATCGTCCGTAAAAGTGGGGAATCGTTATGGGGCGAATCGTCAATGGGGCGAATCAAATACCATAATAATATTACTGAAAAATTAATCTTAATTCAAGCAACATATCACTGCAGCCTTGCTGGTCTTTTTTTATATTTAAAATTATCAGATCGAGATGGATCCAAAGAGTTGTCATTGAAACTATTCTATTTTATTCATCAAACACGTAAGATTCTACATGAATGCAACACGTGGTAACAATAAATCAAACATTTCCTGACTTATTTTCATCATTTAAATGAAAAGATACAAAATTCTAAAGGATTAAGTTATATGTTAACATGGAACGTACCATGTTTATTATCTGGCCGACTTAATCAAAGACAAAATAAAAATCTTTGAACAGTGGTGAGCCAGCGACTTTCCTTCGTAGAAATGGCGGCGTGAAAGGACGGTTACCGTGAGAATTTGTACAGCGTTAGAATAGGCATGGCATGATAGCACTAATAAAAAGAAATTTTATTCGGTCATTGCGTTCGTTTAAAGGTACTATTAAATGGAAATATTACCAAGAGGCTTAGAGCATATCATAATATGGGCACATTGAAGTGAACGATAAAACTCTTTCTGGAATGTTTAAGAGGCATTAACATTAGCATTTATTTGAAAGGAAGAGAACAGTCAGTTCCAAATATTGGACAAAGCTCTAATTGGCATCAGTAAAATCTAAATCTGACCATCAAAGACCAATAGTCATTATAGTTGCAGTACAATATCTTGCATTGAGATGAAGCATCTGGTTGCAACTACAGGTGTTTGCCCTACAGCAGTTAAATTTACTGTAAGGTCTTATTTTGGATGAAAAAAAAACTATTGCTGTAAAGAGGTGATTGCTCTACTACAGTGGGTCACGCTGTAGAGGTTGTACTGTAAATATCTTGTTTGGTAAAGATCCATTATTAGATGTTGATTAAAGAAAAAATTGTTTAAATGCATCACTTCTGCTTAGACAAGTGGCTCCTTAATTAAAACATTTGTGCAAAATATATTAAATGTTATTGAAAGAAGACTGTGATAAGATTCTGTAGATAAAAGTTTAGTGTAGATCCATAAATTTTCTTACTTACCTTTAATGGTTGTTCAAAAGTGACAAGGCTACACAAAACAAAGGCCATCAAACAATGCACTTTAAAGTGTTTGAAGGTACATCATTTGCTTCATAAGGTCTTTTTAACATTGTTAGCTTTCATTGCTCTTTCACAACAGGCAGAGTAGATTTATTTCACAAAGTTTGGTGAATACAGATCATTTCTTTAGTAAATTAAGACAAGAGGGCCATGATATCCCTGAGTCGCCCACCAGAAACAACTAGTTTTCAGTAAAAGATAAAAGACTACCTAACAATCTTACAGACAAAATTTGGTGATCATCCATCAATTATTTCAGTAGGAGATGATGTTCAAAGGTTTTTCTACTTTTAGCTTTCGCGGCCCCTAAACCAGGGGCCAATCAAATTAATACGAGCAAACTTGATAAAACACTACCTAAGAATGCTACAGACAAAATCTGGTGATCATCCATCAATTAGTTCTGTAGGAGACATTTAAAAGTATTTCTATTTTTAGCTTTATTGGCCCCTAAAAGGGGCCACTCAAATCAATATGAGCTAACTAGATTCAAGACTACCTAAGAATGCTACAGACAAAGTTTGGTGATCATCTATCAATTAGTTCTGTAGAATCAAACGTTTAAAGGTTTTTCTATTTTTAGCTTTACACTCGTAGCTGCCCCTAAAAGGGGCAAATCAAATCAATATGAGCAAACTTGATAAAACACTACCTAAGAATGCTACAAACAAAATGTGGTGATCATCTATCAATTAGTTCTGTAGAAGGAGATGTTTAAAGGTATTTCTATTCAAAGGTTTAGCGGCCCCTAAAAGGAGCTAATCAAATTAATATGAGCAAACTTGATAAAAGACTACCTAAGAATGCTACAGACAAAGTTTGGTGATCATTCATCAATTATTTCAATAGTGAATGATTGTCAAAGGTTTTTCTATTTTTAGCTTTAGCGGCCCCTAAAACGGGCCAATCAAATACTATGAGCAAACTTCATAAAACAGTACCTAAGAATGCCACAGAAAAAATTTGGTGATCATCCATCACTTATTTCAATAGGAGATGATGTTTTAAAGGTTTTTATACTGTATGCTTCAGCGGCCCCTAAAAGGGGCCAATTAAATCAATATCATTTTATGAGCAAACTTAATAAAACACTACCTAAGAATGCTACAGACAAAATTTGGTGATCATCAATCAATTAGTTCTGTAGGAGACTTTTAAAGGTTTTTCTACTTTTAGCTTTAGCTGTCACTAAAAGGGTCCAATCAGATTAATATGAGCAAACTTGATAAAAGTCTACCTAAGAATGCTACAGACAAAGTTTGGTGCTTATCCATCAATTAGTTCTGTAGAAGATGTCTAAAAGTTTTTTCTTTTTTTAGCTATAGAGACCCCAAAAAGGGGGCAATCAAATTAAAATACAAGACTACCTAAGAATGCTACAGACAAATTTTGGTGATCATCCATCGTTTAATTTAGTTGTGGAAGATGTTTAAAGGTTTTTCTCTTTTTAGCTCTGTTGACCTCAAAAAGGGGCCAATTAAAATGACATGAGGAAATTAAAGTGCGACTGTCACAAGGATGCTACAGACCAAATTTGAGGTAAATCTGCCCATATCAGTTTCAGAGAAGAAGACGATTGTTGACGCATGACGACGGATGCCCGAGTATCCCCCTTTGAAACTAATAGCTCACCCTGAACCTTCGGTTCTGGTGAGCTAAAAAGAGTTAATGTTTGAATAAAAAAACAAAATGAAAAATATATTACCATTTTATTTCACCATATATTTACAGTCAAAATTGTGATAACATAACGACCAATGAGAAATGAAAACACAAAGCACTCACATCTCATTTAAATCCGAATATACAATAACAAATAAATAACATTTTCCGAGTTTAAAACACCTCATGATTTTTTCTATAAAACTACAGTTAACTGATTAAAACCACTCTAGTACAGATAAACCTGTAAACAAGTCCAATAACTTAGCACAGATGCTATCCAGTACAGAGAGGTTTCACTATATAAAGTTAAATTCTTTTATTCTTATACATATAAAGTTATACTTTCACATCAAAGTCTCGTGCTGTTTTTATAGCTGCATGCCTCCAGATGAGCTAACATATTTCATGAAAATCAACCTTATAAATAATGTACTACTATTTTAAGAAAAGTAAAAACATTCACAATTCAAGAAAGTACTTACATGTTATATGCAATTACTGACTGATTTTGCAGTTTTTATCACCATTTTTCAACTGCATGACTAATGCAGTAAGGGCTATTTTTGCATATTCTAACCTATTTTTGATAAAAATTATAAATTTTAAGTGTTGTCTAACATGTATAAATTACTCTCCTTGTTCAATTCACAATATTTTACCTTTTTATACATTTTTTATAATTTTCATGAAAATCAGCATGAATCTGGAGGCACTCTGCTTTAAAATTCTTCTATTCTGTACTTACTAATCGAATACACAATTTTAGTACAAACATAAATTCTGAAAGAAATAAGATTGTAAAATCCTAAATTAAAAAAAAATTCTAATACATTTAAACTCTCTAACTACTGTATGAAACAAAATATAATTTGTGCACTATATTTTAAATAAAAGGATCCAAAAATTTTTGATTCTGTTGTAACTAATTGCTATTTTCTACTCCTTAATGCCCATTCTATCTATTATTATTAAGATTTCCATCTGAAATAACTAACCTGAAATATGCATTAACCTTGATGATTTGTTTCAATCCCATTTCATCACACCTTACTGTGTTTCTGTAAACTATTATTGAGCCGCGTCATGACAAAACCAACATAATGGGTTTGCGACCAGCATGGATCCAGACCAGCCTGCGCATCCGCCCAGTCTGATCAGGATCCATGCTGTTCACTATCAGTTTCTCTACTTGTAATAGGGTATGTAAGCGAACAGCATGGATCCTGATCAGGCTGGTCTGGATCCATGCTGGTCGCAAACGCATTATGTTGGTTTTGTCATGACACGGCTTATATTGTTAAATTATTCATTTAGATCACATTTCATCATATGCCAACAACAACATTAACAACACATCAATTATTTGTAGTGTCTGTTTTAACAACACCTAAAATACTGTGTTTAAATAAAGAAACTGTCCACTTGGCCATAATATGTATCTTTAAGTAACAGATATTTAAAATTGTCTAAAATATAATACATTAAAACAACAGAGTTACATGAAAGCAATTTTTTTTTTTCAAAACTGATACTGTTGTATTAAATGTGCATAGGAAGAAAAAAAGTACACAATACCATTTCTTACACTACTTACCCTCCGTTAATATACTCTTATTTATGTTTAAATGTGACATAAACTTTAATGTCCCTCGAATATTTTTAAAAAATAAAACCTATTAACCGAACAACACAAACTCGCAATATTCTTAACAACATACTTCGTATTATTCTTAATAATATACATCGCAACAAATCAATTTCATAAAGATCTCACACAAACAATACAAAACAACAGGAAAAAATTCGAACATAAAGTTGCAAGCTTTATACACTCGAAACTCTGAAATTTTATTTCATGCTCGCATATAAATGATCGTAAAATGTTTCAGATGATAATTACGGTAATAAAAACAGAGTCAATATATAGAATACCTATTGTGCATCAATAGTACATCACATGAAAATAATACACTGCTGTACAAAACCAACATAATGGGTTTGCAACCAGCATGGATCCAGACCAGCATGTGCATCCAGGCAGTCTGATCAGGATCCATGCTGTTCGCTATCAATTTCTCTACTTGTTATAGTGTTTGTAAGCGAACAGCATGGATCCTGATCAGACTGCACGGATGCGCAGGCTGGTCTGGATCCATGCTGGTCGCAAACGCACTATGTTGTTTTTGTCATGACGCGGCTCATATGTACTTTTAACTAATGTGCAAATAATACACTGGTGTACATACATACATTAACTAATGTACTTTTACCAAGCACTAAATTGTTCAAACCCTCATACATAATTAGATAATAAATAAAAAGTTAGTAAACCGCCTTAATATTGTGAACTTTCTTTACTTCCCTGGCCAAAACCTGACATCTTGTCCCCTTAGTGCAGTAATGGGTTAAGTCCTTCTTAATTTAACAGGAGTTAACCAGTTATTGCACTAAGGTGAGGTGACGATCAATTTTTGAAAAATATGAAAGATATGAATATCTTGAACTAGCCCATGTAAAATCACCTAACACAAAGACAATATGTCATAAAATCCACTACTGCAGCTAATGTAATAAAGAAATCACCAGTATGACTAAAGAAATCACCTATATGACAAGCCATACCTTAATGCATGATAAAACAAATCAATTTCTGAAGATATTTCAATTGTAACAATCAAAAGCTTTCATTTGTAACGATAGATATGGTCAGTTAAGTACAGAAAGTTCACCACGCATTCACACTTTCATTTCGCCATTTTGAAATCACATGTACACACTTAATAAGGTTAGTAATATGGAATTCATAGGTGTGAAGTATATACACAGTTTTCAATGGAAGGATTTAAATATATACATTTGTAAATAACACAACTTGTTTGAAGATTGTATTTTCTTGAACAAGAGCACCGCATGCTGTGTTAACGCTCACCTGTTACTGTTAATGACAATCAATAACCAATTTTTAGAAATATGCTAAGTTAAAAGGGGACATAACACCTTAAACTATTGCTTCCAAGTTTCAAGTTGATACTTTATAAAATGTTTAAATAATGGGCTACATAAAAGTTTTTGCACCACAATGATGAAAAGAAATCAGCAATCAAAATAGCTTGACTTAGAGCTAGAAAATCATCATGAATGACAGCATACACCCTAGATATATTACTCATGTTTTTTTTTATATTTTGTTCAGGTTAAACCCTCAGCCAGCTGAATTTTATTGAGGAAACTTTCTCCTGCTATAACTTAGGAACAGTGACTCAAAAGTCTGAAATTATAAGTAACCACCTGGCCACAGAGAGCCCCTCCCAAAGTATTTAACATTTTAAATGGCTAAATTTCTTAAATGGACTTGACCAGCTTCCATTTCTTGGACTGTCTATTGTCAATTTTGGGGATATGAAGATGAAAATTTAAAGTTAGTTAGCCAACAGTATGGAGCCTGGCCAGACTACATGGATGGTGATGGTGTTGGTAGTTTTCACTCCGGATCACAGCAGTGAGCCACACTGAATTTACCAAAGCATAGTTCAGCCATCGCATCGTTTCTGGGCAGGCTGTCAAGCAGTTGACCAGTACTAGTTGCCTTTACTTTCCCAAGGAACTGATTACTTCTGTACATGCCAGAGCAGAGGCACAGTGTGAATGACCGTAGAAATAATTTCATGATCAATCACAATGAAAGTGATCTGCGCCGTCCGGGAATCGAACCCGGGTCGCCCGATTCACAGTCAAACGCTCTACCTATTGAGCTTACCAGGATGTGCAAGCTAGACTGGCTTTATACGGGGGTCACAAAGACTAATCACTTTTAAGTTTCAGCAAAATAAGGGTTAAAACATTATTACATTAAGGATCAGTTGCTTTTCTTTTCTGCCAATACTTATGTATGTTTCATACACAAGCAGGTAAATATTCAGGAAATAATTTATTATTAGTCACACAAAATTTTCCTTTCTCAAAAATATATTAAAAAAATAACAATAAAAACACAACAGCACAAAGTACATAAAAGGTATCACATGAGATTTTTTCAACTGTATTTTCAGTTATTATGTAAGATGCTTTATGATTTATTACTTAACACATACAATATGCTTAAATGCCAAGATGACCGTTATGTACAAACCAATATTTTACGTCACATTCTTTTTCTCTCTCAAAATTATTCGACATACATAGAAAAAAATACATCACAATTTCTATTTTTCCGAAATACTTTACGTACTTAGAGTATATTAAATCACAATTTCTTTTTCTAATTGCTTAAAAATCCTTGAGATTTTTTCAAAATATTATACATACCTAGAAAACTTTACAAATCACATTTTTTTTTTGAACTGCTACACATATCTTGAGGATTGAAAGTTTTTCAAATTACTTTACAAACCTAAAAAATTTTACATCTGTTTCTTCAAATCGAAAGTGTTGGCCAAGTTGTTTCTTCAAATCAAAAGTGTTGGCCAAGTTTTTTTGTTTTTCCTAGATTATTTTTTTTCCAACTTCATCCAATTTGTTAAATTAAATTGTATTCACATTATGGCAAGACATTAACGATGATTTCTTTCTTGCAGTAAAAAGCACAAAAATCTCTAATTTTCAAAACAACAGACATTTCACACTAATTTTCTGCCATACGCATGACATTTCTGGAATTAATCATATCGCACACATAAACAAATAACACACTTTATCACATTATTATCTCTGAACCATCTTGGAATATAAAAGAACCCTCCAAATCAAACCCATTGTTTATACAACTCTAGCGTTATCTTTATAACTTTGAACCCAAAAGCACTGTTTAGTCCCCCACACTGCTTCATTTACAAATGAAACAAAATTAAGTGTTCGTCCACAAACTGTAATACACAAGTTTATGGTTAAACAGCAAAAAAAAAGGGAATGGAACTAAAAAATGTCGAGCCCGAATTAGCAGTCATTCTGGAAATCACAGTGATGCAACTTCAAATTTCTCATGTAAATTCCTTACATGATAACTATGTGATGCCACTTTATTCTTATTTGCTGAAACACGATTGACGATATGTGTAAATGCTGGCCCATGTATGACAAGAAACAGTTGTTTTTCGCAAGAATGTTTGTATCACCTTATGAAAGAATACAACTGAAAGGTTGATATAAATCCCAGTGATATCACAAAATCTCCTTTTTGCTGAGGATTTCATTCCAACAATACCATAATATGGTTCAAACCCTCAACGAAATCTTCATTATGTACAATATTGTCTTTTTCGCCACCTCGATCACCGTGGAACATCTATTTTTCACTGATGGCTATTATCTATAAAAGACTGCTAATACGGGATTGACACTGTGTGTGCACTACTAAGTCAAAATGAAGGAGAATTTGTTAAAAAAGTCCTAGATGTCCTTTACAGGGTTAATCGATCTTGATGGCACTGTATATTTTACGGATGAACCAGTAAGCCGCATAGAAACCTACACTTCCGGTTAACAACCAGAATGTCAGCACCATCAACAATGTGTAACCGAAATACAACAGTGTTGATACAAAAGCTGTGATCTCCAACTGAAAAAGAACAAAAACAAATTTTATTATAACTGTTATGAAAATTAAAGTTTTAAGTCCTTCAATGTGTTAAAATTTACATAACATTTGTTTCAGATCTAGTAACTTTTTAAGACTTTAATGATCATTCTTATCTCTCAACAAATACAACAAAATGACCTGCATTAAAACAAGCACTATCGGTAAGACAGCATGCTCCACTATTCCCAGTACTTGATAGCCTGGATAATGTAGAATTTTCCAAGTTTAAAAAGGGCCATAATTCTTTCAACTAGAAATGTGTCCATAGGACACTGATGCCCCCACACGCCACTGTTCTGTCAATCTTATGACTCTAGGTCAAATATTTTTTGGACTACATGTGCCACAAGTTGAAACTAAAAATCAACAAAGAGCCATAATTCTGTTAAATTTGTTCGCAGCAAAAATTCCTTTCTTTACTACCATCTATACATTAAGGTTGTTAATCCCTGGAAGTTTAAGCAAAATCTGCCATCCGGTTTAAGAGGAGTTGCGTTCACATAATTTCTACATAGTAATTAATGAAAAAATCAACAAAGGGCCATAATTCTGTTAAATTTGGTTGCAGCAAAAATTCCTTCCTTTACTGCCATCAACACATTAAGGTTGTTAATCCCTGGAAGTTTAAGCAAAATCTGCCATCCGGTTTAAGAGGAGTTGCATTCACAAAATTTCTACATAGTATATAGTGAAAAAATCAACAAAGGGCCATAATTCTTTTAAATTTGGTCGCAGCAAAAATTCCTTCCTTTACTACCATCTACAGATTAAGGTTGTTCATCCCTGTAAGTTAGAGCAAAATCTGCCATCCAGTTTAAGAGGAGTTGCTTCACAATATTTCTACATAGTATATAGTGAAAAAATCAACAAAGGGCCATAATTCTGTTAAATTTGGTCGCAGCAAAAATTCCTTCCATTACTACCATCTACACATTAAGGTTGTTCATCCCTGTAAGTTTAAGCAAAATCTGCCATCCGGTTTAAGAGGAGTTGTGTTCACAAAATTTCTACATAGTAGCTAGTGAAAAAATCAACAAAGGGCCATAATTCTGTTAAATTTGGTCGCAGCAAAAATTCCTTCCTTTACTACCATCTACACATTAAGGTTGTTCATCCCTGTAAGTTTAAGCAAAATCTGACATCCGGTTTAAGAGGAGTTGCGTTCACAAGATTTCGGGACGTATGGACGGACGGACTGACGGACGGACAAGTGCAACGCTATATGCTCCCACATTGTGGGGGCATAAAAATTACAATAGAGTTATGGACCTTAGATAGTGACCTATTATGCACTCTAATAAGTGTGTGATGTTTTTACCATTTCCCTTTAATAGTTTTGAAGACAACAACTTGCACACAAAAACTTAACCAAATTGTGATGCAGACGCCTTGGTGAGTACAATAGCTCTCCCTATTTTTCAAATTATTGTATTAAATCAATAAGTTTTACAAATTTCCTGTTCAATATTAGCAAAAATTATTGTTAACATCTCTGTTTCTATTTCAAAGTTTAAGTCCAATCTTGACCCAAGGCGCCGAAAATTAACCCAAACAAGCAAAATATGACTTCTGCAATATTCATGTAATTTTGTTGTGATTACTGCTTTTGAGAGATCACACTTTCTCCAGATTTTTTGTAAGGCAATTTGCAACTTGTATGTATAACATTTCTATGTATTTTCTATATCTAGTGGACACTCAATTTAGGAAGCACAGCTACTGCTTAAGAAATGTTGTGCGGCTGGACGGGATTAAACAAGAGTCGGACAGATTTTGTAACCTACCTTTGTCATGAAGTAGAATATAGAATATGCAAATATATAAACAGCTGAACCTCCAGACACGATGAACGATCTCCACCACCAGTGATAGTCCTGTATAAATAGATAACATGAAATAGATAGAGGATATTTGTTTAGTTCAGTGTAAGATCGGAATATATTTCACCGAGTGAGCACCAAAAGGTATATTTCACGAGTGGCACAGCCACGAGTGAAATATGAACTTTTGGTGTTCACAAGGTGAAATATATTTCGATCTTACACTAAACTAAACAAATTTTCTTTTTATTATATGCAAAGAAACGTATTAAAAAGACATAAAACCTATAACTGAATGAAAAGCGCGCCAAATAATAATACAACGTGACGTCATTTACGACGTCACGTTATTAAGTTGGTACCCAGTACTGTGCACGCTGGTATTTCACAGAAACAACGTAAGGGGCTTAAATTCAAAACAGTGAAATTATCAAAGTGGTAATTTCACTGTTTCAAACAGTGAAATTACCAGTTTTATGTCACTGATATATTTCTATAAACCACCGAAAAGCATGTAATAAATGAGTATGATTGAGAAAAAAGCATGTATACCATGTGTATAACTGCAATATTTCAACAAACTTTAAAGTTTTAGAAAGTATGGTTAACTTTAAACTAACTGCAAAAACAGATCACTATTAAATTCTATTGTAATAATCTAGGTAATTTATCTATGGAAGTGAAGAGGCATGCTATTTTTAGCTTACTTTTTATCATTATATCATCATATATCATGATAAACCACTTAAAATTATTTTTCTTATTCAAAAAAAAAAAATTCATTTCAAAGCTTTCTGAAAATGATCTTTAAAAATCGATTTGTTTTAGGCCATACCTTTGCAATATATTAAGTAACTTCAGAATTCCTAATGAGAAAAACTCAAGCTTTACCCATACTATGCTAAATATCTTAAATGGACTTGCCCATCATTCAAACTAGACAAAACCATTCATTATTTTTAGGGGACATTTCATAACATGTACTGACTGAACAGCAAACAATGGTGAAAAAATGCAAAGAAAATGGAATAGCTTACCTCGCCACATAACTGGAAGTATACCATCACAATAGAGATTTGTGATACAGAAATTATGAGAATGACAAACACTAGAAACAAGAAACCAAACAGATAGTAGAACTGGTTCTCCCAGATTGCCTGAAAATAAAATATATATGTACACATATGTTAAGTGCCGACAATGTTTAAGCAATCAAAATTATAGTGGTTCAAAAATATACATCAAGCAATAGGATTAAACTTATAAATTTGTCTGTTGTGTGAAATATAAAAGTCAGAATTACATAAAAACTAGAAATGTGTCCAAAGGACACAGATGCCCCAACACGCCACTGTTCTGTCAATCTTATGACTCTAGGTCAAATATTTTTTGGACTACATGTGCCACAAGTTGAAAACTAAAAATCAACAAAGGTCCATAATTCTGTTAAATTTGGTCGCAGCATAAATTCCTTCCTTAACTACAATCTACTTATTGAGGTTGTTAATCCCTGGAAGTTTAAGCAAAATCTGCCAGCCGGTTTAAGAGGAGTTGCGTTCACAAAATTTCAACATAGTATATAGTGAAAAAAATCAACAAAGGGCCATAATTCTGTAAAATTTGGTCGCAGCGAAAATTCCTTCCTTTACTTCCATCTTCACCTTAAGGTTGTTCATCCCTGTAAGTTTAAGCAAAATCTGCCATCCAGTTTAAGAGGAGTTGCGTTCACAAAATTTCTACATAGTATATAGTGAAAAAATCAACAAAGGGCCATAATTCTGTAAAATTTGGTCGCATCGAAAATTCCTTCCTTTACTACCATCTACACATTAAGGTTGTTCATCCCTGGAAGTTTAAGCAAAATCTGCCATCCGTATAAGAGGAGTTGCGTTCACAAAATTTCTACATAGTATCTAGTGAAAAAATCAACAAAGGGCCATACTTCTGTTAAATTTGGTCGCAGCGAAAATTCCTTCCTTTACTACCATCTACACATTAAGGTTGTTCATCTCTGTAAGTTTAAGCAAATTCTGCTATCCGGTTTAAGAGGAGTTGCGTTCACAAGATTTCTGGACATACGGACGGACGGACTGACGGACGGACAAGTGCAACGCTATATGCTCCCACATTGTGGGGGCATAAAAAGAAAATTTCATAGAGAAATAAAAATATTTCAACAATAAATTAAGAAATCTTGACTAAATTTATCTCAAACATATATCAAGGGAGATAACACTCACTGTAAAGATGAAGAACAGTTCAATGAACATAGCTCCGAATGGTAAAATACCTGCCATCAAGATGCTGAAATTTACAACAAAATTATTAGTAAATATGATAAATCACTCAAAGCAAATTCTTTAGAAATGTCAAACATTTGTTTAATAATGCTTTGATAATGGATTAAGAACATTTAAACAGGTATAACAACTGAAGAAAGTATCGCTGAATGTGCAGTAATGTGTTGCAAAAATAGCAAAATGTAAACAAAGTAGTATTTTAACTTCCATACAAAATGCTGATTCACTTAAATCATACCAATTGCCAACAGAGCAAAAGTAGCAAAAAAAAAAGTTCTTTTATATTGCAAAGAAATATTTTTTCGTACCATGTAAGAAGATACCATAAATAAAAAGGTTTTCAGAAATAAAATTGACACCAGTTGTGAGGCATAATGGGCCTTTAACTCTTCAATCAGTTCTATATGGAAAAAGAATCTTTCACAAGTAGAAAAAAAGCGGAACTTTAGTCAAATGCCTAAAAACTTGAACCTATGAAAGTGTGATGCTGACACGTGGGCAAGAACAATAGCTTGAGCTAACAAGAGCTGTCGGTAGGACAGCAACGCTCGACTATTCTTCGTGCTTGATAGTAAAAAAAATGCCTGATACAGTTACCTCCTCCTGTTTACAGGTTGGGGTCATGATGGTGAACAAGTGTGCAAAGTTTCAAAGCCATATATCAATGGACTTTGAAAATATTTGAACTATTACAAAAACTTTAACGTAAATTCTAAGTCGAAAAAGGGGCATAATTCTGTCAAAATGCTTGATAGAGTTACCTCCTCCTGTCTACAGGTTGGGGTCATGATGGTGAACAAGTGTGCAAAGTTTCAAAGCCATAGGTCAATGGACTTTGAAAATATTTGAACGATTACAAAAACTTTAACGTAAATTCTAAGTCTAAAAAGGGGCATAATTCTGTCAAAATGCTTGATAGAGTTACCTCCTTTTGTCTACAGGTTGGGGTCATGATGGTGAACAAGTGTGCAAAGTTTCAAAGCCATATGTCAATGGACTTTGAAAATATTTGAACTATTACAAAAACTTTAACGTAAATTCTAAGTCGAAAAAGGGGCATAATTCTGTCAAAATGCTTGATAGAGTTACCTCCTCCTGTCTACAGGTTGGGGTCATGATGGTGAACAAGTGTGCAAAGTTTCAAAGCCAAATGTCAATGGACTATGAAAATATTTGAACTATTACAAAAACTTTAACATAAGTGGTGACGCCGACGCTCGGGTGACTGCAATAGCTCTACTTATTCTTATCGAATAGTCGAGCTAAAAACTGTACAAAAATAAAACTTAATGTATTCATATGTTCAACAGAAATATAGTAAATATCTAACCTGAGACCTGGTGACATATACCAGGCTTGTTCAGGAACTTGTCTTGGAATTTGATTGGTTCTAACAGGATGCTGATATGCCTGTAACAGAAAATAATGACATCTGTTAAAAAATAATCTTTTTAACAACCATTAACAAGAATTGCATCATCTTAAGACATATATTTTCTGAAATGATAATTGTTTATTGTGTCAACAATGTTACAATACAAAATCACAGTTTACAATTAAACAAACATGGGGCTATTATTCTTTTAATCTAACAGATTAAAATCACTGGCCTACCAGCAGCAGATAAAAGGAAGGAAAAACCTAAAACCTAAATTAAGCTTCAGTGACCTTGACCAAATCAATATGAAATTCCACTCAAAGGCATACATAGTTCAGTGGGAGATTCACACACACTAAATATGTAAAATATCAGTCAATAAATACAGTTGCTATGAAAAATAAGACAGTAAATGTAACAGAAGGCTTAGATCATGAGATAAAACTGGAAACTGTATGATCTGACATCCCATCTTAAAATGAAAAGCAGGGACAGTATGAGGAAACAATAAAACACTGATGCCTGACATCTGTGTAGCACCCTATAGACAGACTGTGTCAAATGTCATACACCTGTGGTATGCACCACTGAAACTTTTTTACTATCATAAAAAATTGTTACATTTTAACACACACAAATCCTATCAATGGAAAGCTAGTTCACCATCAAGAGTGGTTTGTGGCCTTTATTTCCATATGTTAATTCACCAACTTAAGTTTTTGCATATTATTATGCTCATTATGCAATATTACGAATTTTCAGGGAAACTTATCAGGGATATAATACTTCAAATACTTAAAATACGCACCTGTTTTCTGAACCCAAAGAAATAGCCTAGGAACACAAGTGGCACTGAAATACCAAACCACATACAGAGTAGAGCCAACATTGTTGTAAATGGTACAGCTCCTGATGAATGTTTGCCCCAGATGAAAAAGTTCAGGAAAAAACATATTCCAAAAACAAGTCCTGGGTATAATGTAGCAGTCTGGAATGAAACACAAATAATATTAACTTTTGCCGTTGTCTTGAACTTGTCTTAAAATTAGACTAGAGTCGTTTATAAAAGTAATTATATCTCCCCTAATGGTGACAAATTATTGCATTGTATTATTGTAAGCTTAAATTTCATGACAACAATCTAAATCATTGAACAATATATTTCATCATATAATCTATTCATACCAGTGAAATATTCATCAGAAGAATCTCATATGATTGATAATATTTCAATAAACTGGATATCAAGGTACTTTTTTTTAAAAACTAGCTTAATTTTCTTCGATGAGACTCAATAAGCCTTTTCACCATATTAATTTCTGACAAACTCTTGTATAAATGGGCTTCTTCAATTTGGAAAAGTCAATTTTTATTATGATGGATAGAACAATCAGGTCATATTACATAAACATACAGGCAAGTCTGACTTGATGCAGGCGGCATATGTAATTTTTGAGCCCTACAGCACTCAAAAACTAATTAAGATTGACAGAAATTACGTGAAACTTGTAAACACGAGGACTATATATAGCCTAATATATTACCTGTAAAGCGGACTGTTTCCATTGAGTACCTTTCATTGTTTTGTAAATTCTTGCAGCAAAATATCCTGCAATCAACCTGTAAAAAGACAGTTTATATACATTGAAATGAAAATGATTATCAGATTAAACAATTACATCAAAATCATAGCTGCTCAGAAGTTATTTCAAAATTGTAAAATAAGTAATAACTAGCTCTATTTCTTCAGTGTCTGTTTTTCATTGTTTGAGTCTAAACTGTTTTAACAAGTTCCAGAATTCCAATTAAATTTCAAAATTTTGAAGTCAAAGACTGCAACCTCTCAGACAGTGGAAGACACATTACATGTATATAGGTAAAGAAGGACAACCATGACATTTTGGATGTCACTCACCAAAGTCAGGAAGTGAATGACTTCCGAATTTCCACTAATAGAAACTCTGAACAACAATACCAGTGACAGTCAGCTTATTAAATAAAATAAACGATTGTTTAAAAAACTTAAAAAATACTTCAGAATTCTGCTAAATTAAATATGTCGAACATAATAGATAAAAGACCTTTACAATCATACTTAGGTAATCATATAGAAATTGGATACATCAGAAGGTGATCTTACCCCATAAATACAAAGAGGAATAGTGCTGCAGTCATGAGAGCCCCTCTAGACGCTGGTGATAACATACCCAACATAGCAAATGCTGAAATTATTGTTATATATGACAATATTATATATCATTTGTATAATAAGACAGATCAACTAGAAAGCTGTATCAAATAATTCAGTGCTCTTCATACTTTATGCTCTATAACAATTCAATTTGACTCGAAAATGTAAAAAAGTACCTTCTGAACATAAAGCATAGCATAAAAACATAGATATCTAGTAAAAAGAATTTACAACATACTATTAAGTATCAAAAAGTTACTTCAAATAAGCCTTTGTATTAATTTTTGTACAAGGTATGCCCAATAGAAGCATATTTTGAGACACAAAATTAGGTAAATTGGGATAAAGTCAGTCTAAATAACAGAAAAAAGTTGAATTTTTAGTTATAATTATTGACAGTTTGGGAAAAATTGTAACTTCCAACCATTGAAACGTGCTCATTTACCTTTGACTAATTAAATATAGAAAATAATCCACATAATACTATTGTGTGTTTCAGTATTCTACTTACCAACAGTAATCATAGCCATAAAGAAGACTTGTATTCCAGCACCAAGAAGTGAGGCCAGCAACTTATTAAATCTTGGTGGTCTGAATACATCTCCATGTACAAGCTTCCATCCGGTCTCTTCTAATGTTTCCTCCTAAATTAACAAAAAAACAACATGTTTAAAATTTGAGAATGATATTATACTAGAAGCAATAAGTTTGTTTTCATGGGTTTTAAGTGACACTAAAAATATAAGTCATATGGCAGCAAAGCTTAGGTGCTCTGATTGCATAATCTTAAGGGTCACCTTGTTGCAAAATTTCATGTGTGCGTTGTTGCATAATTTCAAGGTCCCATTGACGCATAATTTTAGTCATGAACAGGCACCTGTTTTACTTTGTTTTACGACACACCTGTTTGTTTTACGACACACCAACACAATTTAGATCATATGGCTCTAAAACAGGAAAGATTATTTTGGTTAAATTCAGATGCTTCAAACTTAACACCAGGGATCAAAACAACCATGCTTGCTCGAGCCAAGAGATGCATAAACTCCAGTATTTCGAACCCATTTAGTCGCCTCTTACCATCAACTAGGGACAAACAGTGGCTGCAATTCTGATGCCTAAACTCTTAATGGCAAGATTCATCACCAACAGCAGTGCAAGACAAGTGATTTGAAGTCAGCAACCGTAAACACGTGATTTGCCTTTGCCACCAGTATAGAGCCAGGCCAGCCCTACATATCCATGCAGTCTGACCAAACTCTATACTGTCCCCTGTTTTACTTAATATTTTCATCTTGATGTCGCCAAAAAATGATAATGGAAAGTTCCACAAATGGAAGCTGGACAAGTTCATTTAAGAAATTCAGGATATCAAGGGTTAATACACTTACCAAATCCTCATCTCTGTTATATTTTGCAATGTCCTTTCTCAATGTTCGGATCATAATCATAGTCAATATACCTGCAATACAATGATATTTCAAAACTTAGAGGTATTCCGTTGAGGTCCAAAAGCCCAAAAATATAAAATACATTTGAATTTCTTACAAAGACCAACTGGGGCATCTAAAAAAACAAAACAACAAGCAAAATATCATTAAGAACTATACCCAGAAATGACTTGAAAATCATATTATTTTCTATTCTTAGCCTGTGTTGGGTGAAAAGTGTTGCAACATATTTTACTGTTGTTATAATTCCATATACATCTGTTCTATAAAATCATTTGCATTCAGCAATTTTAATAACTGTCCAGATTCCAAAGCTCTCAGTACCTTCTTTTGTACTTATTCATTATCCCTCATGTACAGACTCAATCAAACCAAGTTTTCATGCAATTTTATTGTGATTAATGCTTTCGAGGGATCATCCTTCTTCAATATTTGTATACTTCACAAGAGCAAGTGACAAGTGCCGTGTGGCAGCTGTTAAAAGTTTGCCCCATTCTTCACTTCAGTTTTGGTCCTTGGGGATCATTGATTCCAGCACTTTTAAGTATTGAAAATTGTGTACCGCTCAAGCCGGTGCTAGGGGGTGTGAGGGATGTTGCATTTTATTTCTTTTTTTATTCCATAAATACAGAATAAATCAAAGCACATCTGCAGTTTTCATGTAATTTTGTTGTGATTAATCATGCTTCCAAGAGATCACACTTTTTCCAGATTTTAGAACATTATATAGCGTGTGAGTCAGTATATCACTAACCTGAGAGAAAGAAGACAACAACAACAGAGTTGATGATGGAGAACCAATGTATCTGTACATCACTCATAGCCAGGTACGTGTCCCATCTTGATGCCCAGATTATATCACTCTGCTCCCAGTGTACCTCATATGTGAACATAACCTCTGTCCCTTCTGTAATCATAAATATATTTACATGTGAACATAATCTAGCTTTCTTCTTTAAAATTTAGATATGTGAACATAATTTTGGTTCCTCCTGTTTACTTAAGTATGTGAACATAATTTTGGATTCCACATGTTAACATTAATATACATGTATTATTATATGGACATTACTTGGGTTATTTCAGTGAACAAATAATATGAAAAACACCACTTTGGTTTCTTTTTTAAACATGAATATTTGAAAATAACCGGTTTTTTTTCTCTCAAAAATATAGATATGTAAAAATAAATATGTTAACATAGCTTCATTTTCTTTTGTAAACAAAACTATAAATTATAATTATGAAAATAAATTGGTTTATTATATACTTATAAATGAAATATTGAGAAATATTCATGAAATAAAATGCGTATTTTCATTTTCCGTATTTTCACTGTAAAAATTTATTTTTCACTGCAGTGAAACATATTTTCCGTATTTTCACTGGTGTCTTGCCGGACTACTTTCTTTTATATTCTACCGGTACACAAAATTTAAGGAAAAGTCTTTAAAATTTTAATGTCAAAAAGAGAAAAATGTATATAATAAACAGAAAATTCAAGTTTTTTCTATAAATACATGATTTATTTTCAACTTGTGGCATGAAAATTACCATATTTCACTCGTGGCTACCGCCACTCATGAAATATTTATTTTCATACCACTCGATGAAAACAAATCATGTATTTATAGAAAAATCTTGAATATCCTCTATTTCTTTTTGTAAATACAACATAACATGAGTTCCTTCTGTGAACATAAATATATGAACATAACTTCAGAACAGAACAACATATTGACAGAATAACAGAAAATAATTTATTTACCTTTAGCCTCTACAAGCAGAGGAGATGGGTCCGATTTAGCAAGACTGGCTTTACTTGAACATGCACCATCCTTGACCTCGTAATCTGTTACGGAACGGCTTTCTGGGGCTACCTCAAACCCAACTACTCTGTTTGTCTGGCTGCAATAAAAGAGGAATAATTTGAGCCGCGTCACGACAAAACCAACATAGTGCGTCTGCGACCAGCATGGATCCAGACCAGCCTGCGCATCCGCGCAGTCTGATCAGGATCCATGCTGTTCGCTTACCAACCCTATTACAAGTACAGAAACTGATAGCGAACAGCATGGATCCTGATCAGACTGCGCGGATGCGCAGGCTGGTCTGGATCCATGCTGGTCGCAAACCCACTATGTTGGTTTTGTCTGACGCGGCTCAAATAATTTTCATTTGTTATTGTATATATCAGCAAAATCTAGTGTTTTATGCCTTATTTATCTTTAAAATTAAATTACATCTCACTGCCGTTGGATCTTATCCTTTCATTCTTTATTAAGATGAAGCTATCTAAATAGCATACAAAATGTTGATGATTCTACTCAGATGCTCGCTCTTGCACAAAGTGGCACCTGTTGTCTAAGGTAAAGTTAGGAAGTCAGAATTTGACTTTTACAGTACAAAAAAATAGACTGAATTTGTCATTTTATCTGTCTTGCTAAAAGTTAAACTCTGTTCAACCGAAATGAATATATGGCTTTCAGTAGGTAAAATAAGTAATTAAAACATGCATGCCAATAATGAATCTAAACAAAATTTCCAGAATCTATACTGGTGGCAAATGGTAATCACTTTCAGTTCCAGCATGTTAAGACCATTAATTGCACTTACCTACTAACATCAAAGTGGTACTTCAATAAAATCTTCAAATGATTGTTCAAGTAAGCCTGTAAAAATACAAGAAAAAAATAACAAATTTAAATGTTTGCCTTAAAGTGTGTCTTATTTGATGCAAATCCTTTAAAATGAATCCAAGGACATTTATATTTCAATTTTAAGCAATTTATACATGTTATATTACATGTTATGATGTACAAAACAAAATGTCTATGAAAGCCTATCATAATGCATTACCTATTTATAAAGCTTACACTAAAAGATTAGCTCCATTTATTCAGAACACATAAAAATATGCCAGTTACCACATTTACTTTCCTTACATCAGTCAAACAAAACTACTTCCAACTTAGAACTCAACATAGAAACAAGTACTTTAAAATGCAAAATCTGCAATAACAGCATCAAATTATTCAATTGGAATTTGGTCATTTACTTATTGTGATTTTCAGTTCACTTAATGTGCTTTCAATTTCTTATACTTTTCAACATTTCACATTCATTAATCATCTCTCATTAAATATTCATAAGCATGATGAAATGCACACTGTCCTAACAATAGACTAACTCCAAAATTAAGAATATTTTGTTTTTTTCCCCCAGCTAATCCGTAGGTACAAACAAACCTTTTACAGTTATAGCTTCGAAAATAAGCACAACAGGTTGACTAATCTATTATGACCCGAAGTGCACTGTGAAGGTATAATGGTAAAACTTTGTTTGTACCTACGGGTCAGTTTGGACAAAAAAAATTGCCGAGTTCCAGATAACATCTTTTACCTTTCCATCCTTCTCAAAACCAAGTCTATAGCCATGCTCGTATTGGATCTCTTGTGTATCAATTAAAGCAAACTTTGTGGCACACGGTAAATTGTCAACCAACCTAGAAGAATAACGGCAAATGAAATATAATGTATGGTATAATATAAATGTGTGCTTATAGTTCATAGCTTTACAGTGCCATGTTAGTGTCCACTTCAGATGTACGAGTGTCCCAAATTCAAATCCCACCTAAGGTTGATTTTTATTTTTCAGTCAGTTACAATTTGTACAATACAACTTTAAATTAACATGCGGTACATTGTAGCATGCCTGTGATATTCTCTTTACTAAAATACACTTAATGAATTCACGAATTCTTGAAATTTTCTAAAAAATAATTAATGTTAACTCATATAATCACCCATTATGTAAGTTGTCATAATGCCAGCAACTTCATAACAAAGCATTTTTTTCTATCACATCATATATTTATGTCTATAAAACAGTATATTTTATAATAATAATTCAGCAGAGTATTAACTGGCATACAATGAATTTGGTTATAAGTTACTTACAGATGCACATAGTAATCGTTCTTTATCAAGTCAATGAGGATTTTAGCCTGTTTCAGTGACAGCTGGCTGGGTTTGTCACCCGTACACAGTAATTTACAGGTCTGATCCTCCAATGCTTTGATCTGTATGAAAATTTATCATACACACATTTGATTTATAAATGATACGAGTTTAAAACTGACAGCTTTAAAACCATTACAATCTTTTTTATTTTATTTAGGTACCATGAACATAAGATACTGAAAATGATAATATACCTATGTTTTCACTGGGACACAGTTTCTATTGGTTTTTATTTCTCAGATTTTTACTGTGAAAAAGTACTGTTACTTATGTAGAGTACAGAATTTTACATTATGATATGAAATGATGTTTAAGATATTAACAAATTATGGAATAAAATACAGTGTCTGTTTCCAATATCAGAGTACTATTAACACTCTTTCTAAATGACTGCTTTTAATTACTAATTTTCATATTAAAAACAATTTTGTTTCTGGTTCAAATCAGATTATTTCATGTGATAAACTTCAGAAGTTTGATTCAAGTTCCCTCTTAAAGGGTAAAGTTTTTTTCTTCAGCATTCATATTCAGTAATGTCCTAGCTCTACGTACCTTATAAGCTGTTGAAACAATCCTATCTCCTCTAAGAACTTCACCTGTAACCAGAAAATAAATCATATATAAATGTTAATGTCACATGACTAACCCATAACCTGCTTAGCTTACTTCTCAATTGGACTGGTCCAACATTCATTTTTGGAACTGTCCATCATCAATTTTAGGGATATCAAGAAAAATGTAAAATGTAGTCATGTAAAATTTGCCCTGGTGGAAAATGCTTCTTGTTTTTGGTGCAAGCAGTGGTAAAACAGAAGAAATTAGTTTAGAGCTTCATTTTGGTTTTGCATTTTTTTTATTTGGCTTAAATTTGGCAAAAATCCAAGTCGCAACATGCAAATTGTTCATTTTGGCACAATTTTAAGAGAAATTTTAACTGCTTAAAAAGCATTTTTATGTAAACCACTCATTTATCTTAAAAGATACCCTTATATGTACAACAACATAAACTATTACCAACACTGACACCAGACTGTGAGACAACAGAAATATATCATATGTCAGTATCATTTATCACAGTCAATATACCATTTTAATACAGATCTGAAGCAAAACAATTCAAAATATTGTAAACTGTTTTAATGCTTTATATAATAGGCTATCTGGCAACAGCTGTTGCATTAAATATATTGATGTTAAGACATCAAAAGATTTCTATAATACACTGAGAAACTGCAAAATCATCATAATTCATGGGGCACTAATTTTTGTGGTTTCTGTGGATAGGTCAATCCGAGAATTAAAGATCCAAAAAATTTCATTTTGTCCGCTGTAAGATTATTTTGTATCGCATTATTTTATATTTTACTGTTTTGGAAAAATAAACATTCCTGGAATTTAATAACCCACAAAAATATTTTTTTTTACAAAACTATCAAATTTCATACCAAGTAGCAATTAAATATTTTCCATAACTTCTTGTCAATTCAAATTTTGCACAGAAAACTTGCTCTGCAGAAAAAAGTAGCGCTTTAAGTACTTTTTAACATACATTTTTAAACCCAGCATTATTGACATCATTATAATTACCTAGATTTTCGGGCTTGTACTGGCCACCACCCTCAGGTTCACAGAATGGTGCCCTGTAATACTCCATTGGAAGCTGGGTCCGTACACTAGTTAATTTCACGCCCTGAAAAAGAAACATAGTTTGAAATATTTTATCATTAATATCATCGGGGATTATTTACTTCAAATAAACCGAGGACTACAACTTATAATTACTTTTCTGTAATGATTCAGATTCAGAAGCAAATGTCTGAATACATTAAAGACAGAACAGTTTTTGAAATTTTACATTATGTATATGTTTTGGGCAGGGCTCTCATTGAGTAAAATTTGGGGCCAAATATGGGCGTCATTCCCCCATTAAAAAAGTGTGTGTTTTCCCCCTAAAAAAAAAACCTTGAAAATAATATTTAACAGCCATAGATCAGGGATCACGTTTTTCAGTTGAATTTTTATAAAAGTATCTATGATTTATATGTATTAATAACTACAAGTGATATGACCACATTAAGGAAGCTTGTGTTTTATGTATATGTATTAATGGAAAATATCAACAGTAATATTTAGTCTTTGTTTTCCCGTTATAAATATTCTTCAGGTGACCCATTTTTGGTCGTAGCAGGACTTTAGGGGATCAGAGACTGCAAAGTCTCTCACATTGGAAGTCACATTATACATAGGTGAAGAAGAAAAAACATTATATTTTGAAAAACACAAGCCAGAATGGAGAAGTTAATTACTCCAAAACTATCAAAAAAGACCTTGAGGCCATGGAACACATATAAAGTTATTTGATCTGAATTGATATTTGATTAACTCAATGCTTCAAACAAAAACAAGCAAAAGAAATGGCTACTTAATAAAGTTAATATCATATTCCTTCACGAAAGCTACCACAATCATTGCAAACATATAATTATAGTAAATGTACTTACTTTAACATCTACATCTTGACCTTTGATAAACTCTACAGGTGCTACCCCTGGTATGTAGAAGCCCTTACACCACCAGACCTGTACACTCACTATAAAGATGTTTAACAGCAGAGTCTGAAATAAAGCAAAAACTTGTTATTTTCAAAATGTTTACTTTAAACTTATACTTTGAAGGGTTTAATAGATTTATCTGGAACTCTGCAAATGTAGATTTTTCCCAGCTAATCCAATATATATCAAACAACAAAAATACTTTATTTTGACGCCATTTGACATTTATTAAGAAAAACTAAACTTTCATATCTGGAATACTTATAAGCAAGAACAAAATTCGGTGCAAATTTTACCAATTCGAATGAGTTGTCAATCTTACTAAGATTAGGTCTGCTTGTAGTAATACATATATTAATTTTCAATTCTTATTTAAAACAAAATCATTTTGTCAAAACAAATTATCAATAAAACAATGGTTATCTACAGCACTGTTATTGACAAGATGAATCAGTTGAATTTCTGTGGTTGTTTACAGAATTAGTTCAATTACAATAATATGAAATTATTTTTAGGCTAAGCCTATAAAAGGGAAAGTCAGGTAAAAAAGTTTGTTCATTTTTTATTTAACATTTTTTATATTTTAATAGTGTCATTCTATCATTTGGTATTTCTTCTGGGATCAAACATTTCACTTATCCGCTTGTATCTTCAAGTAGAGATAAAGGCAAAATGACTACAATTTTGTAGTTTGCAGAAAATTCGCCATTGAAGTAGACAACTAAAATTCTCATGATCTGTTTGTTTACATTTAATGATGGAAAATCTGAAACAAAGCTTGTGCTTTAAGTTATGTATAAATTGTGCATTTTATAGAGCTTTGAATGCATTGTTAAATGGATACCGGTTTGATTGGAATGTGCCCGAGCGAGATTTGTACATAACCTAACACAAGCTGTCTCCACTTTTGTACTGACGTATTGCTCTAGTTAGATTTAGACAGGTACGCGATTTAGACGCATAAATTTTTTATTGATTTCAATTAATTTCAAGAATTTCATACAATTTATCTAAGAGTGCTATAAACTGTTTACTGGTCGGAGACCATCAACCGGACACTTTTGGAACATTTTTCCATACAGATTTCATAATTTTTAACCTAGAGACCAAAACATTTGACACAGTTCAGCTAGGTTCTTCTCCTAACTAACAAACTAGTTTGTTTATTTCTGATTTTATTGACACATATATCTGAGGCTCGACAAAGAGGGTATCAAAATTACCTAAATTGTCTACACTACAGTACCATGTGTCCCGACAGATATGTACATGACCTGATTTAATTCAGATAAAAGCTTGGGTGTTTTGATTTTTGATTTTTAACATGATATACAATATGTCAGCAACAAGTGCTGAAGTTTTGGATATTCTATTATTCACTCTGCAAATGATTATAGCTGGTATATAAGGTCAGGCATTGTTTTCTTGACCCCCAAATTTCAACGTCAACATTCTTGAAATAGACATTAAAATATTAATATTTACGGAGGTTGAAATAAATTTATTTACTTAATTTTAAAATAAACATGCACTTATTGTTGATAAAAAAGTGAATGACAATCATTGAACAAAGAAAATACTAAATTAAGCATTTTCGGGGCCGTCCGGGTTTGGTGGTTGTCCGGTTTTGGTGGTCCCCAACCAGTAAACTTGCTAGCAACTGTTTCAGTCAAATTATCAGTTAAAATTTAAACTGTGTGTTTGAAATTGAAAATTAGTTACAATTTTATTCAAATTTCTAAAAGTGAAAGTGAATTTAAAATTTATTTTGCAAAACGTTTGTTATCAAATTTATGTAAATTATGTGTTTTGCTGTAAACAAAGTATTTAATTACAATTTAAATAAATTTACAAAGATAAATTTTTATTTGTGTGAATGGTTAACCTAAAAATATCGTCTTAATTTCCTTATACCTACTCGTTATTGAAAAAGCAACATGTTAACTTAGTTAGTGCATTCAAAACTTTTACAAAGGCTTTCATTTAAAAACATAACAAAACAATAGTTGAAAATTAAATGTCAATATATTTTGACATTTCCTAATTAATTACAAAAAATACAACCTTCGTCGCCATCTTGTATCAAACGTGGAGGTGGTGACGTCATAAACGGTGTTGTGGTGTTTCACAGTCATGAAAGTGCTTAATCCTGAACACCGCTATATTTTTACTTTTCCTTGTTAAAGTATGCAACTTACAAGCTTCAATTTACGAATCATTTAACACAAATTCCTGGCATGGTTTCCTTTGCTTGGCGGTCAATTAAATACTATTTATCTAATTATTTTTGTTTTATTTACATTCGACGCTGAAATCTAGGGGGAAATTACCTCGCATTGGCAGCCACGTCAATGCGGCGTCATTGACGTCGTTACAAAGTTTCATAGAGACAATCGCAAAACAGAACGCTGTAGGAAAATACATTGCAGGTAGATCTAAACCATACAAAATGTGCTCATATCTTTGGAAAATATTTTGTTGCATACCTAATAATCAGGCTGACCGTTGGACTCCGTACATAGCTAACAGTTTGACGTCCGTATCCTATAAGCCTAATCTAATCGACACAATATACTTCTGCGTACCACGAAATGAATTTGGCGTCTTTTTCGAGAAGGACATCAACTCCTGTCAACTTGATATATCTGGCTTCATGAGTCTGTACAAATATGCAACAGACAAACGAGTTCGGAAACCTGGACCCGAGTATAAATATTCTAAGTACGAATTCAGAACAGACGACAAATATGTCAAAGTTCAAGGATGGATACCAATTAATAGGTTCAATGCCAAACCAGACGGTGACACTAATTACAGCAATTCATGCGTTGAATATAAGCCAAGTACAAGAAATGTAGATTTTGCTGACGAAAAAGGCAACAATTCAGAGGATAAAACAGAAGTCGGTGTTCAGGATACATCTGCTTTTCGAATAGAGGCATCCTCATCCTCTTCCAAGGTCCCGGGAAGAAGAGGAATTTTAAAATACAGCCATCATATGTCAGATTTCTAAATGTAACACGATTTAATAATATGCAACATAATTCCGAACATTACTTCTCCTTTCACAACGGGTGAATAGTTTTAACAATTTACCGTGTAGGGAAGACAATTAAATTATTGATTTGATTTTGGAAATGAATCATTTTAAAACGTTATTCCATCAATGGAAAATAAAAAAAAATATTTACAAGACACTCCGGTTTAAAAACATCAGTGACAGATAAATATCATTTTGAACATCACTTAATTTTGGAACATCGACCAGTTACTGATTTTATCATTTTTGGAGCAGCAGTTTCTGGAAATGTCATATCGGAATCTTCAGTTAAATCCTATTTGGAATATCGATAAGTTACTGGAGAAAAATCGTATTTTACACATCGATAATTATTCCGAAAATATTATATTTGGAACAGAAATTGCTGGAAATGTCAAATTCGGAGGAACAGTTCCCAGAAATATCATATTTGGAGCATCAGCTTATGGAAATATTATATTTGGAACAGCACTTACTAGAAATACCAACACCACTTACTGGAAATATCATATTTGGAGATTAGTTACAGGAAATATTATTATCTGAAAAATCAATTATTGAAAATGTCATGTTTGGAACAACAGTTACGTATACTGAACAACTGGAAACATCTTTTTTTTTTTGCGAGCAACACATAGAAACTTAGACTGAAATTAAAACAATTTGAATGGAAGAAAAACGTGTAATTTGGGCATGATGACGAAAGAAAAGTAATAGGCATATAGATCTAAATGCCAAAACAGGGAGCTAAATACAGAAATAAAAACACATTGTTGAGGATGATACTGACGGTATAGAAATGTCCTCCATTAGCACCTAGATAAAATTATATTTGCGCGGAAAAAAACGAAAGCGGATAAATTTTTTTTGAAAAACGGCGGCACAGCACAAGTATGTGTTTCCTTGTTACATAACAATTGGAAGTATATCTTGGTGAGGAACATGTAGAAATAAAAGAACACAGTTGCTGGACATTGATGGTAAAACAAGTTGTTTCAACAAATTGTTCATTTGAAAATATTGATTCTTTTTACCCAATTATGTCCACTGGAACATGAAAAACTAAGGAATGGAAATAAATAGTTACTGAACATTGCTAGTGGAAAAATAAATTTTGAAATGTAACGACGCCATTAATATACATGTCACATTGGAACGCAACACGTAGAGAACACGAAACAGACGTTGAATTGTAAAATTAAAACAGACAGGTAGTGAATACTTTACAGTGAAACAAGTTGTTTTTGAATGTAACGAAGGTATAAATATGTTAACTTGGAACACAGCACATGAATAAAATTATGTTCGCAGAGAATGTGAAGATTAAACTAAAACAGTAACAGAACATACAACAGTGGAACATGTTGTTTTGGAAAATAACGACGGTATAAATATGTTACATGTACCTTAATTGGAATTCAAGAACATAGATGTTATTTTTTTTATAAAGATTATCTGATCTTATATTACAAGTATTTATAGTTTTAACACATTTATTTAAGCTCGATTGCGAAACAAGTTCTTGCAACACTATAGTACCACACTATATATTTAGCACTTTCGAGTCCGCTTCCTAGAACCAGCCAGTACTGGTGTCATAAGAAGAAACATGGTCGTCACCCGAGTAGGGCTCGAACCCATGATCCATGGGTTGAGAGGCAGACACCCTAACCACAAGTCCTTGCCATCGTTCCCCTGTTTAATATTTATAACTGCTTAAAGTAAAATTCTAACACAATGACTAGTGTCACGTTAAATTATAGCATGCCTTTGGTTACAGACGTTGTTATAAAGTTATGTCAAGGGGCTTACAATAATAACTTTTTCTTTTTATTCGTCAACAATCATTTATTTGGTTTACACATAACAAAACACAAACACATGAATAAAGTATTTGCATTATACAAGACCTTAACAAAAAAAAAGCAATTTTGCATTTTACAAAATAATATCAATCATTCAAATTGGAATGGTTATTATGATGTTTTACGAGTTATAAATACTACTCACATCCGGGCAATTTGTGTTTTTCATACAACTCGTGAACATACTGAAGCCAAGTCAAATGACAGGTCATGAAAATATTTAAACCTTGTTCTAGTACATGAAATCAAACATAACCAAGTACACCTAATGTACATACCCGTACCTTATCCCAGTACAACTCATGAACATACTTCGACATAGCCTTAGTACATCTCATGTACATATTCAGCTGATACGCATACTCAAACATAGTCTTATCATATATCTCACGAACCTAGTTAAACCTAGTCTAAGTAGATCTCAGCTACATACTGTGAAGTTCATAAACATACCCAAGCCTTGTCCCAAACAAGTTATGAACATCTTAGTACATCTTATATATATGCAAGAAAGTCTATGCTTCTCTAGACCATTCGAGAGATTGACTGCAGACGATTATTTTGTGTGTTTTTTCGATATTTATTTGTACATTTGTACAATAACGCACAAAAATACATTATTATATTTATTTTCCGGTATACCATAGATACACTAGTGTCATATAATACCTAAAGTTAGCAGATAATTTTGATTTAAGCATTTATATGAGGTTGTTGTTTTTTGGTTTTACGGCGCATCGACACAGTTTAGGTCATATGGCACCGAAATACGAACGATGATTTGGCTAACCTCTTTTGTTAAAAACTAAAAGCAACTGCATAAGAGATTCATAGACTCAAGAAATTCGAACCGATTTAGTCGCCTCTTATGATCACACAGGGTTAAACGATAGCGGCAATTCTGATGCCTCAATCCGTAAAAGCAACCCCTCCGCCACAAGGGGTCGTTTATATGAGGTAAAGCCGTGGCCCTTTATTTGTCATTCCTAAACTGCCACTTATATGAGGTAACGCCGGTTTAGTAAATGACAAATAGAGGTTACATGGGTTACCTGAGGAAAAGTTAAAGGGACACAATACTATAACATTTAAGCATTTATCACACGCAGCATTAAGATTATCATATTTAAATCTGTCTCTTTTCTTCAAAGTATTAAAGGAATATTTACTCTTTTTACAAGATATTGTTTGTATATCTTTCAAATAATGTCTAAATTAAGGTGCAATGCTTCGTAGTGGAAATTTATGTGTATACTATGACATACCAAATACATATGAGCCGCGCCATGACAAAAGCAACATAATGGGTTTGCAACCAGCATGGATCGAGACCAGCCTGCGCATCCGCGCAGTCTGATCAGGATCCATGCTGTTCGCTTACAAACCCTATAACAAGTAGAGAAAGTGATAGCGAACAGCATGGATCCTGATCAGACAGCGCGAATGTGCAGGCTGGTCTGGATCCATGCTTGTCGCAAACCCATTATGTTGGTTTTGTCATGACGCGGCTCATATATAAGACTTTACTGGCTAGTTAAACATTGAAATAAAATTAAACATTATATACAATTGCATTTTAATAACAAATATGTCATCGAATTATCAATGACATGTGATTCAATAATGTAAGATATAAATTATTCAGAGGGAATCATTTTCTTTCTGGTTGTGCCTGTCTCAACATTAGCATTATGAAACGTCACGATTATCCAATGAAAACGACGTTACAAACGTGCAGTGTTAAGAATTGTTCTACTAAAAGCGATTAAGCAAGTTAAGCAGCTAAGGCTATATAACCAATATTGCGTTAAGTTCAAGTCACAATACAAATGGTCTGAATTGTTTCGCGGTTTTTATTAACTTTCCGTATTTATTAAAAAGCAAACAAACGCCGCTAAGATCATGAAAAATGTCTTGTTAACTAGATGCTTTCCAGATAAATATAAACGAGCTGATGGCTGATATTTTACTCTAAGATGGCCCTGTCACCAAGGGCACTAGGAAAAAGACAGACAGAGTAGCTTGTCCCCCTAGAAACACAAGAAAGAAAAATGTATCAAGGACGTCGGCGACATTTGTCCACGACATTTCTTCCTCCTGCTCATCGTCATCGATTACGCTTACACCGTCATCCGCCTCTGTAACAGCATTTTCGAACAAGGTATCTAAATTGGCACCGGCTGATTCAATCCGACGGAAGGTTGACAATGCTACCATTTGAACTGAAACTGAAGATCTCCGAATCTGTACTTGTGCATTTGCATTCTCTGAAAAGATAAGGGAGACTCCAAAAATCAAAGAAAACGTTTTACGTTTAATTTATCTTTCTGTTTTTTATGTTGGCTGTTGTTTTTTGTTGTGTTTTTTATTTTAATAAAAGGAATTTAAGGCTCCATTTTTAACAATTCGTTCAACTTATTTTGATATTCAAAATTCTCATATATTTCCGATGAATTTCTATATTTCATATAAATAGTTTATAAATATATACAAATGTCGTAAAATGTACAGTAAATTTACAGACATGTAAAAGGCAGTTTGAGAAATTTTGAGATTTACCAAATAAATTTAGAAAAATTAAACACTCACCTTCAACAGGTAAGTTGTCGACTGATCTTTTGCATTTTTTCCGACACTTCCGCCATGCTGCTTTACATAGTCCACAGCGAATGAAACGCACAAATTTCTGGAGCCATTTTGGTACTTTATCTGTTTCCGGTTTAAGATGTAATCTCAACATTAAAACTGTTAGTATGCATGCAACAATGCTTACAACCATCATTATGATAACATAGAAACAAAAAAGCGACATCGGATCTGCGGTATGAGGTAAAAACCCCATCACAGTCTGTAGCATGAATACGAAAGAGAGAAAACATGTCAGCGAATAGCCAATGCGCTCTCCACTTTCCGCCGGAAGTAGAAAAACGAAACCAGTCAAAACGGACAGAAGCAGTATGGGAAATATAACATTCATCACAAAGTATAACGGTTGGCGTTCGATTGTGAAAAGGAATCTCATGTAGGATTGATCGTCGACTTCGTAGCTTTCAACCGTTGTTTCAATAAGACCCCACACAGCATTGGGTTTGTAATCGCAAAGGTACCATTCAGACTGTGCACTGTCGAGAATGATTTCTGATGTTGTATAGCCCCATGCAGTATATACAAAGCTGCATTTTTGGCGGTCAAATGGATAATATTCAACATCCGGTTTGCATGCTGCTTTCATGATCACTTTCGGCTGCCACATCATTCTCCCGTCGTATACATGGTAACGTATTTTGTATGCAGGATCGCCAATGTGCTTGACCGAATCAACAGCATTTGTTAAGCGGATTGATGGACGAAAAACAGATTCCTGCGGCAGACGAACGGAATAACCTAATAATAAAAGAAAATTATAAGACTTCAGCTCCAGACGAGAAAATTAATCTTGACCGTCACCTTCATTTATATTATTCACTAATTTTAACAAAGTATCTATTTCAAACAGTATACTTATTCAAATAATATTCTGTGAGGTGATATTGGCTAGTTTGAAAATACAAAACCAATGGTTTGGTGTAAAATGATCTATTCTTCATCAGAAGAGGATTTGAATTAGTAAACTATTTTTTCAGACTTTTTTTTAAAGATATGAATTAATGAGTTACAGTTCTTTCGCAAAAAAACTTTATTTACTTAAGTCTGTTACAGGTCAAAATTCAGGCGGAACAATTTATGTTTATTTTTTTCCCAGTGGTGTTTTGGCAGATTGAAATGTTGTCGCTGGCAGAAAAAAAGACGAGAACAATCCAAAGTGGTGTTGAACAAAGAGAGATAACATGTCAGCGAATAGCCAATGCGCTCTCCTCACTTTCCGCCGAAGTAGAAAAAACGAAACCAGTCAAAACAGACAGAAGCAGTATGGGAAATATAACATTTCATCACAAAGTATAACGGTTGGCGCTCGATTGTGAAAAGGAATCTCATGTAGGATTGATCATCAACTTCGTAGCTTTCAACCGTTGTTTCAATTAGGCCCCACACCAGCATTGGGGTTTTGTAATCGCAAAGGTACCATTCAGACTGTGCACTGTCGAGAATGATTTCTGATGTTGTATAGCCCCATGCAGTATATACAAAGCTGCATTTTTGGCGGTCAATGGATAATATTCAACATACCGGTTTGCAAGCTGCTTTCATGATCACTTTCGGCTGCCACATCATTCTCCCGTCGTATACATGGTAACGTATTTTGTATGCAGGATCGCCAATGTGCTTGACCGAATCAACAGCATTTGTTAAGCGGATTGATGGACGAAAAACCGATTCCTGCGGCAGACGAACGGAGTAACCTAATAATAAAAGAAAATTATAAGACTTTAAGTGTGTCAGTTCCAGACTAGAAAATTTATTTGACCTTCCATTTATTTTCACATTTATTTATATTGTTCACAAATTATAACATGAAAAAATTATTTCCGGAATTTTAACATAAAAACAGTATACAAATGTACTTATTCCAATCATATTGGCTAGTTTGAACATATAAAACCAATGGTTTGTTGTAAAATTATTTCATGTTCTTCATCAGAAGTTGATTTGAGTTAGTAAACTATTTTTTCAGACTTTGTTTTTCTATGTTTAAAATTTTTAATGATATGAATTAATAAGTTACTGTTCTTTTGCACGAAATACTTGATTTACTTAAACCTGTTATAGGTCAAAATTTAGGCGGAACAATTTATATTTGTTTTTTATCCCAGTGGTGTTTTGGAATGATTGAAATGTTGTCGCTGGCAGAAAAAAGACGAGAACAATCCAAAGTGGTGTTTGTCGGTTTCTTTCCAATTACAGAGTTATTATATATTATTGTATGCATCCATGCACTTAAACAATAACAGTGCAAACAAGAAAATAAACATATACAAAAATGATTGAATAGTTATCATCAAAAAATTGGTACTGACCTTCTGGACTGAATGGAAAGACATAGTTCCCAATGGAAGCCGCCCTAGTCTCGTCCTTCCATTCGAGATACAGACTTCCGGATATCTCAACCAGTCCCGTTACTGCGTTGAACCCGTCTACTGAGTATAGGTGCATTGTGAGTATAACGCTCAACGCGGTAGACTGGTCCTCGACCGGTATGATACTCGTCAGCTGTGTGTTATTGTTTGAATAGAAGTTCAGCAAAGTCTCCTGCACGGCCTTTGCGTCGTCATAGGTCTGGCAAAAAGCTGGTGATATGAAAATGTTTAAGAAAGTTAAAATCACTAGAAAATTGCACATTCCGTCAGTTCTTACAAGAGAATTTAAATACAGAATTTTAGCCATTGCTTATTATCACTTTGGTATAAAACAAAATAAAATGTGGATCAATTGTCTTACATTAAACATTATTATTTAAATGTGTGATACATTTTGATACTGTAAGAATGTGTCGAGTAATTTGTCTTTTCAACAATGCCAATAACAAGTTTGTAGATCAAAAAGATGCGTGATAACCTAATCGCAGTTCCTTTAGAATATTTTTTATCTTTATTAATCATTTTATATGGCCCATCGATGAAATACATAGACACATCACAGGTGTATTGGGTTTAAAACGGTGTCGATGTTAATCCGTCGGCAATACTGATTTACGACTTTTAAGCAATGCTTTGAAAAGAATGTGTAAAATGTCGGGCACGAAATGTTCCAATTAAAAAAAGATTTAATTAATTGCTATAAACTTAATAATAAGTAGATCAAAATTACACATTTTTAAAACTATGGAACAGAATTACTGCATTTATTCCATTTTGCTTGGCGAAATTGAAACTTAAATCACTCAATTATTAAGCTTCTACCTTGCTTAATGACACGGAATTTGCTTTTTGCTTTATACTGTATTGCTTTTTTCATTGCTACTCGTATTATGCTTATTTGGTCATTGATTTTGTGCATAACTATAAACTTGCATCTATTCTATTGTCTTTTACATATTGTGTTTGACATCATCAAAATGTGATGTCGTGTTAATACTGACCACAACTTTTGCAGAAGTCTTGGTTCATTCGCTATTGTGTTGAAGCCGTCTTTCTTTCATTGTCACCAGTAAGTTTTACTTTATGTTTTAGGTTTTTACTGGAAACACTTGGTGAGAACTGTTTCAGCTCCTTACACATACACAGTGCAATTCGGTGTCATTTGTCTTCACGAGGTGACGCCGCTTAAATTGCCAATTTTGGTTAAAACCGGAACGATTCCGATAACGTCGGCGTCATATCGTATACATGTATAAGATAGTTTTGTCATTTCGAGTATTACTATGGTTATTTATCACGGGGGAGGAAGTGTTACTCGAAGGATGGAGTTCTTATGATAACTTGTTTTGAGTTCTTATGATAACTGTCACGGAGTTCCTGGAAAACGTTACGGATTTCTGTGGAAAACTTTTCTATATACTTGGAGAAATCGCGTAAAAATGGTTATTTTTAACTTTAAATGGGGAGTTTGAGGTGCTAAATTAAACTTTGATAATTAAGCTTGCCCTACATATTGTATTATGTTTCAGAAAAAATCTTTTAGTCCATATTTCGTCGCCTTTTTTTTAAAAAAAAACCTGGTAGTTTTGAGAAAAATTTCCAAATTACTTGCTAATTCGTACATATTGATCTTTTCATTTGTGATCTTCTTCGTTGCTATACATAATCAACTAATTATAGTGGAGAGTTGCAAACATAAAGCACGGGCTAATAAATGTATACCCGATTTTTCAAATGTTACGGAGTTCTTGTGATAACTCAAAATATGTCCTGGAGTTCTTATGATAACTTTTGTTACTGCCAGTGTGTTTCTTGTGCTTAATTACGGCACGTTTAAGCGTATTTTATTAGTCAATAAGTGTGTAAATCATTATGAAGCATAGTACGCTTATCATTTGCACAAAAATTTGGTTATATAACGATGGTTTTGATCGTGTTTTAGTTCCTAATTAAATTTGTGCGAAAACACAAGAAACGGAGGTAAGAAAAATATCTCTTGAACTGAAAACACGATTAAAACCAACGTTATATAACCAAATTTTTGTGCAAATGATAAGCGTACTATGCTTCGTTATGATTTAAACACTTATTGACTAATAAAATACGCTTAAACGTGCCGTGATTAAGCACAAAAACACACTGGCAGTAACAAAAGTTATCATAAGAACTCCAGGACATATTTTGAGTTATCGCAAGAACTCCGTAACATTTGAAAAATCGGGTATAAATTTATTAGCCCGGGCTTTATTTTTGCAACTCTCCATTATAATTAGGTAATAAAGTATAGCAACGAAGAAGATCACAAATGAAAAGGTCAATATGTACGAATTAGCAAGTAATTCGGTTATTTCTCTCAAGACTACCAGATTTTTTTTTAAAAGGCGACAAAATATGGACTAAAAGATTTTTTCTGAAACAAAATACAATATGTAGGGCAAGCTTCATTGTCAAAGTTTAATTTTGCACCTCAAACTCCCCATTTAAATTTAAAAATAACCATTTTTTACGCGATTTCTCCAAGTATATAGAAAAGTTTTCCACAGAAATCCGTAACGTTTTCCAGGAACTCCGTGACAGTTATCATAAGAACTCCAAACAAGTTATCATAAGAACTCCATCCTTCGTGTAACACTTCCTCCCCCGTGTTTATCAAAAGAAACTATTCTAAACCTAATGTTAATCATTTAATTGTTAATGTAGTTGTTGAGTAGATCTACTGATAAAATTTATTCTTTCGTTTTCTTTGCTTTTTGTCGGACGCAGACTGCGCATGTGCGAACTGCTACTTCCGTTTCTATGGAAATATCACATTGCAAAAAAAGTATATAAAAGAATTGACAATGATTATCATGCAGACTGTGGTGGATAAGATTGAAACGCAAAGTTGTGGTTCCGATTTCATAAAAAGAGTGTTCGTACTTTTCACCCTATACGTTTATTTGATTACGACCTTTCCCTTACTTTAGTAATAGTGATCATTGACCCAAAATTCATGCAACTGGACCTTTTTAGGAATTAGTTTCTGTCAAGAACATTGCAATTTTGAAACAATACACTTCTAAGGATGTTGCCATTTTGTTAAAGATTTTTGATCGTGCGACCACATACAAGCATCGAGGACATGTTTGAAAGAAAGTGAACTTGCGAACACTCAAGCGTATCACATGAAAATGATTCCCTTTCTTATAAAGAGTTGTCCGCACTTTTTTGCAAAGGGAATACTGTAAAAATATGACAGTTTCTTATTAATATTGATAAGCAGGCTAATTTGTACAGATGACTTGAATTGTCACTGTATACAAGTGAAGTAATGGAATAAAATTGGATATGAAATAAAAAAAAAGCTCTTATATATCTTTCTGAAAAGTCTTGAGTTTACATTTTTTTCTTTTTTTCATTAAATTTGTATAAAAGAATTATCATGTTTCTGTAAAACACGATTAATATGCATTAAAAATTTATTCAAATGCCAGTATTTATAATTATTATTGAAAGAAGTATCTTTTAAAGAGATACTTTTTCATAACTCATTTCGGACTTTTGAATACATGAAGAATAATAGCTCAGCGCTTTTTTATAATGACAGTAATTCTGAATGTAAATTCTCATTCTATCGAAGACGCCATTCGTACTTTCAATTTTTTTCTTCTAATTTTAGAATGGCCATTGATTTTAGCTAATGGCCAATAGACATCCATATTTAAATACATATGTAGTTCTTCTCTGTATATTTTACAAGAAACCAAACTGTTCTCAGACGGACTTCGCCCAAATAATGTCTTCTATTTTGGTGATCAATTAGTATTGTACCAATAGCTTTTTTTAATTTTAATAATATTTTATTGTTTATTTGTACATGATAAATTATCACAATTTAACATCATGATCTTAAGAATAAATAAAATGTAGATGCCAAAGGGTTGGACCAAGATTTATATCAACATTATCTATGGTCCTTCCCTAGGTACAAGTACTATTACATTTATATTAAAGCATAAATAAAGGAATCGAGAGAATCAAAAAAACTAAACGGCTTAATAAACAGGTGAAAGACGAAAACAAAACAATACATGTTACAGGTATGACAAGTTAAAATGGATTTTTATTTTGTTTATTTCTCACTCGTATGATATATTCCCCTCATGGTATATGTGGTGTATATAACAAGCAATACATTTTTTTATTTTTGATGACAATTAACAAAACACATTTGTTTTTGATAAAAGTTCGGCTTCATAAGATTGTATAAAGCATGCATTTATACAGATGTATAAAGATGTCTATAAGTCTAAACAAAAGAAACATGCATCAAATAATAAGTCATCTGACACAACTGAACATCTAAAACAAAACTGACTAAGATGTAATTGTCAAACTAGACGTGAATAAAAACCATTAAAGATAAACTGTGCTCAATCTTGAGTAAAATATTTTAATAACATAAATTTATTGAAATCTATGAAATTCTTACTGGAAATGTCTCATATGAATAAAAATGAATAAACTATGTATGGGAAGCTGCGTTCCCTATTACAGGTCTAACAGGTCTAAGTTGGTCTTTTCTTAAAAATGACACTATGTATTCATATTGTGACCACCTATAGTGTTTAGAGTTTTAAACATAAATATCTACCTTATATGAAGTCAAAACATGTTTATTTTATATTCACAAAGAAACTGTGTAGCAACTATCAAGATTTTCTTATTATCAAATTTGAGCATAGTATATGTTTAACAGAAATATTTTTGAAAATCAAAATGTATGGAATATTATTAAAAAATATTAAAATGTAACAAAAATATACATTCAAATTTAGAGAAGAAAAAAAATCAATAAATGATTTTATTATTGCATATTAAAGACATTGTTTTCCAATCTATAAATGGATGTTTACCAAACAATATAAAGTGAGCGTTTCTTTCCATTTGAGCGTCGTGTTCTACTGAAACAAAAACCGCGACAGATCACTAAAATAGGCACGATATCCCCGACCTCCTTCGTACCCTAACGTAAAGAAATAGGGGGTTGATATAATTATACGGGAATGAAGTGCTCATGTGCTATTATTTCTGAATGAATAAAAGTTTTATTGCAAAGTAAACACATTCCAAACCTATGTAATCTTGTACAGATAGAGGATAATGGTAACTTTTTCATTGTGGTTAAAATGAAGTACATCTTAGGTAGGTAAAATTAAATGTACATGTAATAAAACAAAAATAACTCAAACTTCCATACTATCAACATAATTATGATAAACTGAAATATTTGACTTCACTATCAGCCCGTACAATCAGTTATTTTTCTCGTTAATATAGAATTCAATCTTTTTTCAATAAGTAAACTTTAACGTTTTTAAAATCATTTTTAGATTTGTTTAGCTCGATGTTTTTTCGCATATCAGATAAGGCTATTTCATATCAGGGATTGAATACTGTTTATTCCACACCCAGTACACTTTCAGCATTTGCATCACGGGATGTTTCAAAAGAAATCATTATTGGATCTTATCTAATCAATTCAGCTTCGTTTTCATTTCCAGAGTCCAAAATGTCCATATTAAATGCATATCACATCCCTTATAGCCTCGTTTTTATTTCCAGAGTCCAAAAGGTACATATCAAATGCATATTACACCCAATATAGCCTCATTTTCATTTCCAGAATCCAAAAGATTCATATCATATCCATATCGCACACCATCTAGATCGTTTTCACTGCCCATATCAAATCCTTATTGTAATTGAAATAACAAAGTTCTCTCAAAATTACAAAATGGTGGTGTGAAATAAAGATGTCACTAAACATGTTTAAGAACAATACTGATTTTATTGGACTCGTACACAGCTGCAAAACCTATATCGGATTCGGCTAGCGCCCCGTCCAGTATAGTTTTGAAAGGTATGTACTCGTCCAATAAAAATCAATATTGTACTTAAGAATGTAAAATAACCTCATAATACATGATTTCAGTTATACAATATAATTGTAGGTCTTCGTTGTATTTTGTTTACGCTCGAGTACCAATAGGCACCAAAAATATAATGCTGAATCCAACCTGTACTCCGATAAACGCGAGTAAAAAGAAAGTATCCAAAAGATGGCCAATCAATTCCCAGTCAATTTCTTCTATGGTACTTTCATCATCTTCCTCATAGTATTCTGACGATTCCGTCGCCACTTCAAGTCCAGAAGCAATTACTTTTACTTTTTCGCGATTGCTCCTTGATTTACTTGCAGATTTAACATTATCTACGTCATCTGCCACGCTAGCCATGCTTGATGACGCGAAAGAGTCCGCACTCGTAACACTTTTTACTTTCATTTGTTCTAGTGATTTCGGAGAGCTATATCCGGTTACTGATGACAGTCGATCTGCATTAAAGACTGTCCGTTTTGGCATTTGGTTTAACGATCCGCCTTTCTTTGAGGATTTGCCGGGAAAGAAAGAACCATCTTCTACTGAATTTGCCTTTTTTCCACAAACGCGCCGACATTTAATACATTTGATAATCTCTAAAACATGTATAAGCCATCTCGGAACATCCTCGCCTTTTGGCTTGTGGTAGACCCTCAGAAGAATGGCAGTAATTAAGGTTAATATGGCGCTAAAAAGCATCATAACTATGACGTAATAGCACAAAAGAGACATCGGCGAAGACGCTTGTGGTAAATACGTCATTGTCGTCTGCAAAAGGACAATAAACGACAGAAAGCAGGTTATGACAAACCCTATACGTTCACCTGATGCTGCAGGAAGAAGAAATACACATCCGCTTAACATAGATAAGCACAAAATAGGCAAAACTAAGTTGACTGTAAAGTACGTTGGTTCCCGATTGAATGTTACAGTAAAGTTAGCAAAATAATAGTCACCTGAAATATAAGTACTTGAATCGGTCGATTCGATGTCCCAAACGCCGCTTTTGTCGTACCTGTCCATTTTCCATTCATTTGAAGCGACCGACAATTTTAGCCTCGTTTTCGTTAGATACCAAGGCTGAAAAGTGAATGTGCACGACTGTTGATCAAAGGGGAAGTACGTCACGTCCGGAGAACAGGAACCTTTGATTATAATTCGAGGTTTCCAGTTCGCTTCACCAGTTCCGAGATTCAATCTTACTTTGTATGTTTCGTCCCCGACTCGTTGTATGGAATCAGCCGAATTTATCAGCACAATGACTGGAGTCCAAACTGTCTTATAATGAACCATTACTTCATTGATCTTTCCCGTATCAAAGGTCACACTGCCCAGTGCGCCGATGCTGTCTGTCCAGGTCATTGATAGGCTCCCGATCACATCTAACGCACCATTCACTGCGTCATATTCGGCAAGAGAGTTCATTTCGAATTCCAGTCTAATATCTAGCGGTTGTGTAAAATCGTTCGAAGGGATCGTATTTACGTAAGATTCGAACTGATTCATCGAATAGGCATTGTAAAGTTTTTCATACTCCGCCTTCACTTCAGTCCATGATGAACACTGTGTCGTCTGTATCAACGAATTTATTCCAAAAATTAAAAGAATAACAAGTTGTTTCTCCATGTTTTAATATCAGAAAGTCGTTTAAATTACAGGTAATTATGCCTACTCTCCATAAGCGATGATATAATTAAGAAACTATATATTAGCCCGCCCACTTTGTTGACGTAAATTACTTGTAAGATTATTGACCGAAATCATGAAGTAAAACGTTTTATGATAAATCTCCAAAACTATTCCAAATAAAAAAAGGTATTTAAAATTTAGTCCCGCTGTATGCATCAAAAAGATGTGATTGCCTTTTGTCCTGCAAAATGTTTTGATCCGAAGATAATATAAAAAAATGTTTGCAGACAAAACCCTATTTGATCGTCAACTTTAGTACTTTATATCAGTGTTATCGAACTGGTATTAAAACAAAACGTTGATTGTTGTGTTAAATGATACGTTAATATTATTTTAATGAGCTGTATTGTTCATACGGGTCACGGTCGGTGTTAATTTAATTTATAATGAATTTGCACCAATTGAAACGCGGTGGAAATAAAGTTAGGATGATTGTTGCGGAAAGCGACTGGTCCACGCGGTTAAAAATGTACCCTGTACCCGGGAATGAGAACGCATATGTCTGGTCTTGTACATATTGTTTGTTCGACTTCTGGACTTCTGACTATCAAAGCGGGTTATCTTAAAATACATAATCCTAATTTTATATATTTTCCTAGTTTAGAAACCGGTCAAAGTTTAATTTTTCGGTATACATATATTTTTATTATACCGTCAGATACTAATTTGTTCTGTTAAGATACATCGGTTATGATTTTTATCAATGCATTAAAACAATGAAGCATTTTAGTGTTTGCTAGTAAAAGGTAGAAGTGCAAATGAATGTGTCACGTGGTACATCATAACTAACGCTGTAACACTATTACCAGGATGTTCGAACCAAATTTTGTTGTTTTTCAAATCATTACAAAAAAGCCACACTGGCTTCTAATAAAACCAGTGACTTTGCATTTTTAATAGATCTTTTAGTTTCCATTTTTTGCGTACAATTATACAATCATGTCGTCAGTTTTAAAACAAAGAAGCAGTTATTTCTGTGCATTTTTTTCAAAGTCTTGTAAGATATAGGTAAAAAATTATTATAAAAAACAAATTAAGCACGCTTTTTGAACGAGAATAATGACAACAAAAAGATTAAAAAGCGCGGTGCATATCCTGCGTCTGTGGCCTATTCGATTTATGTTTTGCCAAAAATCAATGTTTTTACGTCAATTGCAATCAAGCAATCCGTTCCAATTTTTGATCTAAACAAACTACTGTGACAGATAAGCCAAGCCGTCTGATGATTGATAACATTAGATAAAAAGATAATATTTAAAGTAGCTATTGGTAATTAATGACACTGTTACCTATTAATTTTGAATTACGGTCAGGTCTTTGTTATGATATTTATTAGTGATATGACATTGTATTGACATATACAACACTTCTGCGATGTACTAAATGTTTAATAACGAATTGTCTGTTAGAATTTAGATACGTATAAAAACTATTTTGAAAGCTAGATTCAATTCCGTACCGGTTTTGTTTGTTAAAACAAAAAATGAATTTAAGATATATTATTACAAGCAAATGGACGATTTACGTTTTGTTAATGTTATTCAGCGAATGTTCCAGTGTAGTACCGTATAATGATGTAAAAGCCGACTTTGAAACCCTTCTATCGGCTTATCAGGTAAGATTTTTACTTTTTGTATGATTATCTCCCTTTAAAATCCCTTTACTTACATTACAATTACTTCCATAACTTCTTTCAGTAATTAACTATCAAATTTCAATCGATTTCGCCTTTTGAACTAACCAGAATGTATTGCTGTTTGTACATAATGTATGATGAACCATGGCCACGACTGCGACATAGTTCCAATTCAAAATCCAAGGTCTTAGAGACCGGTTTTTATTCCACCATAAGCTTATGATTAAACATTGAAGTGTAGACGTTTCTTGGTTCACATGTGGGAGAAGACCTTTGTTTTCAGCCAAAATTGTTTTAAGCGGGGGTTTCGCAAGGTTCTACATTAACTCCCTTCCTTATATGGTTAGTTCCGATCTTGGAACTTCACTGACTGAACCGCCGACTTTCTGTAAGTCGACGGGAGTTAAACCAAATGCCTGATGGCATTCTTACATGAAAACATTTAATCAAAATCAAAGTGTTAACGCATTGAAAAGGTCACAGACGCAAATATGCGACGCAGTATTTGTATGGATGGATGCGTTCATTGCATGCCGCACTTATATATTTTAACTTTAAGAATTCTCAAAATTCATGACAACAACGAAATGAGAGGTCGCTTTGTTTTAATTTTCCATTTACAGTTAGGCAATGGAAACGTTGGCGGAACAGATGTTATGCCCAAGGACCTGTCCACGGGACCAGTTACGGTTTATATGGGTGAGTTTTATTGTGTTTTATTTATTGATAAAGCCTATTAATAATAATTAATTTTGCATATAAATTGCCTCGAAACAAGCTTTAATTTGTTTTGTCAGTACATGTATATTTTATTTGAAATAAAAATATACGTAATTATTGTACAGTGCATTCTTTTCAAAAGCCAGCACAACCCTTTCGGAGAAAAAGATTTTGGTCGTTTCTGACCGGTATTTCTTAAGAGAAGTCTTTAAAAAGAGGTAAATGTTCTACAGAGGGTCGGTTTGCAGAGGGCAAACTGTGTATGCATAAATAATATAAAACGACACACTCTACTTTTCAAGAAATAATGTTGGTTGAAGAAATACTCATTAATAAAACTAATCAAGGAAAATGAGGACCCGTGGTATAATGGTTAAGGTGTCTGCCACACCACTCAGGTGTCATAAATTCGAGTACGTCTATGGTCTTAGCAACGTTTCCTCATACAATACCGATACTGATAAGCCCAAAAATTGTGCTGACAATGATTAAGATAGTTTAAACTCTAAGCTTCTGTCGCAATCGAACTTCAATAGATTAATTTGATTTTGTCCTAAGATTCAAACATTCATGTCCAATAATATTCCCATGAATCAAACAACCGGCCCAACACAATTCCTTATTAAAATCAACGTGTTTATGAAATTCTTTATGGGATTATTATATCTATTGAAATTTGTCTGATCACTTTCGTGCCTCTCATTAATAAAGGTCCGAATCACACAGGCAGCTATAAATTTTCTTCATGAGAGGAAGGACTCTAGCAAACTTCCGGAAGAATAATAGTTCTACTCCGGTACTTGCTCCCGACAAAAATAAAGCACGGATAGACTCTTCCAAAACCAGTAAAGCTAGAAGGTCACTATATATGACCTTTAAATTGCCGATGTAATTTATAATCCAAAAGAAAAAGAAAAAAAAAGAAATTTGTCTGGTTTCAGGTTTGAGCCTATTCGCCATAATGGACTATGACGCGGTGAGCGGAGTGATACAGTTAGTGGCTAGCATGAAGATGGAGTGGCTTGATGAAGTAAAAACACTAACTGGGACAACATTCATGGGATCCCAGGAGACAATATTTGTTGGGTATGATCAGATTTGGTCACCAAATCTCGTACTTATGAGCTCCGTGGACTCAATTGAAAGAATTGGGGACGAAACGTATAAAATTCGATACAATGTCAGGTGAGAAATAAATTGTGCAGCTGTGAAATTTTATAAATGTATTTATTTAGGTATTTTATACCACGTGGCCACCCATACACAGTGAAATTACCTAATATAAATTTAAATGGTCATTTTCAACTTTTCTGTGTGATTTTCTGTCATTTAGAAAATTCCGGCGTATTTGTGACAACATGAAAATAAGATTGTCAATGTTGTTTTTTTAAATGATTGTTTTTTCAAGCTTTAAAAGAACAATAGCAGAATGCATTCTGTCAACACTTATTGATTCCTTTTCCTTATGCCATATAAAAAGTCTTTCAAAGAACCAGTGAAGGACATAATTTTATAAATATTCCTGAAAGAATGTAAACCATGTGGCAATGACTTTTAACAATGATTCCCCTCTGCTAACTTAAAGATAATTCATCGGTTTTACTTTATTTTTTGTTTCCTTCACAGTTCCGGATATTGTAAATGGTATCCACGCATGATCATAAATGCTGCGTGTACACCGGATATGACGTATTACCCATTTGATAAGCAATCTTGCACGCTCACAATAACGCCATGGAACCGAGGTATCGATGAATTGAGACTAGAGCCTTTAACAAATGAATGGAATACAGCAAACATGGAGAAGAGCTCAACATGGGGCGTTGATTCCACATCGACAGAAACATATATTGGTCCTAACAATACCCGATTCTACGTAGATTTCAAAATAACAATAAAAAGAAAACCGTTATTTCTAGCGCTGGTAATAGTACTTCCGGTTCTGCTTCTAAGTTTATTGACAGGTTTTCTGTTTTTGTTACCAGCTGCTTCCGGGTCTAGGGTCGGTTTTGGAATCACGTGTTTTCTTTCTTTTGTTGTTCTATTGCAGACATTGATGAGTTTTATGCCTGAGGTTTCTTCACCAATGTCTATTCTGTGTTTTTATGTTATTGTGATGCTATCCTTTAGTGTCTTCCTTAGCATTATTAATGTCTTTTTACTCCGACTGCATCTGAATCCAAGTAAGGAAGAAGTTCCGCAGTACTTTCATATTATTCTTGAAGTTATCACATGCAAGGTCTGGCGGCGATGTCCGAAATGTCCGAAAATAAGGTGTCAATGTCTGCGAGATTTATGGCATCGCTTGCCCACGTGCTCTTCAATAAAATGTACAAAGAAACATTCACAAATTGATTATGAAGACAGTCATCTCATAGACAATGACGACATGATTACACTTGCAAGTGAAGAGACCGTTCAAGGATTACATTTTACAAAGGTAAGCGAAACAAATGATTTACGAAATAGATTCAACCCGGAACAGGGGTCTGGGCTCATCGGAATCGGTAATAGTGTCACTAAGGGCTTAGACAAAATGCATAATGCAAACTTGGATACTAATGAAATACAGCCGGATCAAAGCAACGCATTTTATGATGTCAGTTCTATATTAAAGGTTCAAGGCAATCCAGAATCGGATTCGCAACAAATTGGGTTTCAGCAGTCTAATGAAAAGAATGGGCCAACAGGTTTGGTTTCTGCGCCATCCTCTGGGTATTTGTCAGGTAACTCTTCAAGTAAACCATCCTCTTCAGAATCTGGATCAAGTGCTTCTGCTCAGGAACCACGTCCTTCGTTAGATGCAGAGTCCGTTTTCCAATCAGCAGCACCCTCTCGTGTGCAATCAGCTGCATCAAGTGCATCATCATCTTCTCCAAAGAAAGAACTCACGTGGGAGTACATCGCTGAAGTTTTAGATCTATTCTTTCTCGCAGTGTTTGTTATTGTTCAAGTTATATTTACAATGATTTTTCTTGTCCCTCTTGGAGCTCAATACTAAAATTTTGATGTGGTATTTATAAAGGAAGTATATGTAATATAAAACAAACATATTTGTATCTGTATAAATTTATACAGATGAACTTTGTAATTGGCTTTGTATCATCAAATTTCAAAAGACATCATATCACGTAAACTCTAATAGTGAAATGTACTTGTACTGTTATCGTATGCTCTAAAATATTCAATGATTGAAACTGACATTTCCAGGTACTTAGTTATACTTACACTTTAAATGTTAACCTTGAAATCTTTACATTTAGGCCGGTAGAATTATTAAGAAAAGCGGAAAATGTTAAAGAAACTTATAAAGAATTTAAAGTACGCTTGATACCCGCTTGGTTTCTTGATATAACACCAGTATTTAGATTCCCTCATTCTTTACATTTTCGCTTGAACCATTCTAAAGGGTCTTGTTGTTTAATGTTTCTCGTGATAAAAATAAAATCTTTCCATGTTTTCTTTCATGTCTGTAATACTGCCCTCACACATACCTCGCGACCTTACTGCGTCCTTACTGCGACCTTGCTACGACCCAGGACGCAGCACAGTCGCCATAGACGCAGCAGGGACTCAGCGAGGTCGTAGCGAGGAACCCAAGGACGCACAAGGTCGCAGACCGTCGGCGACTATTTTGAACATGCACAAAACAGTCGCAGAAACTCTGTGTTCTTGCTAAGTCCTGGTTAGGTCGCAAGAACGTAGTAGGGTCGTCGTACAGTCGCAGGACAGTCGCCGGACAAACGCAATAGTCGTCGTACAGTCGCCGTAAGGACGCAGAGAACATAGCACAGTCGCAGCTGGGTCGCCGATGATCGCCGTGGGGTCGCCTTGGGGACGCAATTAAGTCGCAGTGGAAACGCCATGGACGTAGAAGGGTCGTATTGGGGACATAGAGAAAGCGTACTGAACACAAGACTGCAGAGCCCCGGACCGTCTGCGAGAGAAATTTTCTGCGAGAGAAATTTGGAAATTTGAAAGAAAACCAACGATTTTCGAAAGAAAAATGCTATTTTACTAGTTTTCAGGTCGCAGTAAGGTCGTGGTTTATGTGTGAGGGCAGCATTATTGTGAGAACATTTTTTTTATACAATGTGCATTAGTAAAAAAAAAAACAAATCTCAGATGGAATGAAAAAGATAGCATATGATGCAACAAACTATGTATAGAGGAATTTGTACGGTTTTAAGAAACCAAGTTAGGGCACAAAACCAATAATAATTATATTGGATCGGTCGAGGGTTGTGCATTGTTCTGATAACATTTTGGACGGAAGTTTCGTCTGCCTTTTCTGTATTTACTCATCTTACATCGAGCCCTGCCAGGAGAATGCAGTAGCGTATGCCACATCTTTTAGCCGATTTACACGTGACTGCAAAAGCTCGACATTCGTCTATATTGTAACAGCGGTATGCGCAGTCGGTTGCTTGCGCAACTTCTATCGTCGCTATGTAATTCGATGACGTCATATTCAAAATTACTCGATCTAAAAATGGCGGCCATAGACGCTCAAAAATGATTTCATCCGGGTCTTTGGCAGGAAGAGTTATGCCGCTTTTGGTGATGTTCACTGAACTTGGTACATAAATCATGTCGAGAGCTGAAAAATAAGACAAAGGACTAAAATATCAATCATTTGAAATGTCAAGGTCAACATTAAACAGATCTAAAGCCTGGAACCACCAAGTTTTTTTCTGATGTTTACAGTTCTTACAGAACCGACCGAAATGGATTACGACACATTCAGATTATCAAAACTATTTAAATCAAAAAAGAAATAATCATTTTATTTTTAAGCCTAAATGTGTATGCTTTTTATTGTTTGTTAAAATATGTTTGCCTTTTAAATGCAGTGATTGTGGCATTCCTTCATAACGAATCTATCTTTATTAAATATACAAAATAATATAAATTACTCTGCTATAAATTTGTTTTTACATAAAACATAACTTTCAGTACTTGAAGTGAGTGAATGTGAGAATAAATCTGAAGAAAGAATAACGAATTTTCCAAAAAAAAATTATTTTCTAATTATTATTAAATTCAAAGTAAATTGTCAGTGTTGTTATAGTTTTCTGTTCCTTCGGGGTCATTGAGTCCAATATTTTATTTTGATGAAAACTCAAGACTGTTAGAGACGGTGCTACGGGGCGTTAGAGATGTTGCATTTACATGTACTTACACTCTCATGAACAGACTCGATCAAACCGAGTCTGCATTTTCCAGACTTTGTGGCATTGATTTGGAGTGATCGAATTAAACTTTTGTTTCGGTTTCATTACTTTCTTTATTTTTTTTAGCAATCTGAATTTCAACAACCCCCCCACCCCCTCCTAAAAAACACAAAAAACAACAACTACAAAAAACACACCCACCAACAAAAAAACACCAAAAAAACAATTATTACTTTATTAGCTTATGTTTCTTGTAATTTGTTAACCGACTTAAAATAAAGTTTCTTGTATCTTGTAACAACAAAAAAAACAACAGAAGCAAACAAAAGAAAACTTACGTTTCTTGCAGATGAACACCGGCGTTGTATAATCACAGTCCATAAACTTTAACAAACCATCAACTGTTAAATAACCACACATTTCTTTAGATACTTCCGGTAATGACGTATCTGAAAATAAATTTCATGATATGTTATATATTTAAAAAGTTTGAAGAATGACGATGAAAATGTGAGAAAATGCTAAATTGGACCCGGTTAAAGTGTCTGACTAGATTTCTAGGGAGTATAGGCTGCGCTGACACATTTATATCACGACAGACGATATTCAAGTTGTTTTTTTAATTCTATAAATACACGATTTATTTTCATCGAGTGGTATGAAAATAAATATTTCAGGAGTGGCGGAAGGCATAAGCGCAATATAATAATTTTCATATCACAAGATGAAAATAAATCCAGTGTTTATAGAAAAAAGACTTGACTGTTTGTTATATACTTTTTCTCGTTTTTAACCTTACCATTTGTAAGACTTCTACTTTAAGTTAGTGTATTTGCTGAATTAAGAAAGTAGTCCGGCAAAACACCAGTAAAATACGGAAAATATGTTTCACTTTAGTGAAAATAAATTTTTACAGTGAAAATATGGAAAAAACGCATTTTATCAATAGTTAATTATAAGTATATTATACAACGTTTTTATTATCATAAGGCAAATCAATAAAGTAATGAATATTCTAACTCGATTATTATGATTTTTAATATTTTTACAAAATTTGTTGGGTTGGGTTTTAAACCAAACCGACACTGTAAATGCCATATGGCTGGTCTTTCCAGCTTTACTGTTACAGGAAGACCTCGGATGTCTTTCTGTGCAGTATTTCAAGCAGAAGTTGCCACCCGAGTCAGAGCACCACCTCCGCCACGAACCTTCTGTTAGCTTATTTGATGACCTTCTCACAAGAAAGATTTTAAAGTTCTCGAATGATTCAAACGGAAAGCGGGTGGGGAGGGGCAGGTGATCCGATGTGATTGACCTAAACCACTCAATCACGGAGTCACCCTTTTCATAAATGCGTAAAAGGAATGGTATAAATTCAAAATATGTTTGAAATAGATTTTTTTCGTTTTTTGAAAATTACCGACAAAACACGATGAAAACACAAAACTTGTTGTGAATGCAATTTGTAATTCAACCGATAAAGACAAAATCATACAGCCATTTTATTAACAACAAATGATGCAAAGGATATTAATGATAATACTGAATGTTTTTACATTTACTTCAAATCTTACTGGGGTTCTATGAAAAATATATGCGATATTTCTTTAAAAGCAATTAAGTTTTTTATTGTGATTTTTTAATGAAATTAGATACCTACAGTATGCGTTATTAACAATTAGAATCATTTCAAAACAGATAAAAAAATGGTGCAAATTTGATGTAAAATATTAACAAAGACGGTATTTGATGAAACGATATAACTTGTAATTACGCCAGTATAAAATTGATATCATATATTTATTTTGGAAAACCAAGTTAAGCAGACAACAGTTTTCTTTGATAGCAAGAGGCATTTTTTAGACAAAAAAATTAGAATGAAATATAAAAAATAAAATAAGAAAGAGCAAAGACAAATACATATATGTAAAAAAGATGACGAAAGATTGTTTCCTTTTTTGGTCACCAAGAACGCAATAACCCTGGTATTGCGTATATAAGTTCGTCTGCAGACGACATATTTGACCCTCCCTGTGGGTATTGACATAACCCAGTCAGCAGACGCTTTGATCAAATTAAGAAGTCGGTTACGCGTGCATATTTAACGCTTATTCATAATTGTCAATTATCGAACTGCAGTTCATAAATAGATCAAAGAGCAGTAACTATTGTCTTAAACAGCAAGGTTAGATTATGACTGCAGTATCATTATAATCTATACTTATATCAGGGTGTCCATGTAAGTGATCAACTGGTGCGACACGTGCGAATGACGTCACTATGACGTTGCTATGACGTTGTTGTTTTTTCCCCGACCAACTGAGACTGATGAGTTCGAACCGAGGGAATTAGCTTGTCGTATATCTATCTATTCAGGCAATCATCTTGCCAAAGAAAAAAAGTTCTACTATGTCTTGGCTTTTTCGGTATCGTGGACGATCACTTTTCGATTGATTAAATGCCTGTACAGTTCTAAATATTGCTTACAATACCGCAACACTGTAAATTCGATTTTCGTAAGATAATTTGACGTTTATATAAATTTATGAAGCAAATTTCTTCTTTTTTTTTCATAAAAAATGTATCTTGATGTATTAATATAAAGAATTTTGACAGGTATATTGGTTCAAAATATACAGTGGGAAAGAAAGAAAATACGAAGGTAATTTGAGCAGTATGCGATACACAATCTGCAAATCAATATTTGAATTGAATTAAAAAAAAATAAATACTATTTTCGCTGTGAACATACTATAATAAAATCATTTGATAAAATCATATAAATAAAATATTCTTTTTTTATTAAAGGGACTCCACTTTTTTTGACATGACGGGACTGGAAACAAGTTTTTGAGGTAATGTTTCATTTGGTGAAGATCTTACAAACGTTAAAATGTGCAGTAATTTTCATTTATTTATTCATTTCAATAAAACCCTTCATTAAAGGAAACAATTCAGGCTTTTCCTGACAAATTCAAACTAATCAACAGGGTGCCGTGTTATCAACGGTCGCTCAGATTTGGTCGTACACTCGTTCTTGGTCGCAACAAAGACGTCGTTAATTGACGTTGTAGCACTATACGGCCGCTTCAGGGTAGTCGTAAAGAAGCATACGACCGAATGCTCAGTAGAAAGATAAGATCGCACTTACGATCGTCTTTGTTGATAAAACGCCACCCAGATTCTTGTTAAATACAAATTAACTTAAAATACAAATATTAAAGAAACAAATCTGTCTTCGCCAAAATCACAGTGAAAAAAATGGTTGCTATGCTGCATAACGTTGAATATACAAACAAGCAAATAAATATTGAAGTACATTTGGTTTATGAAATGACATGCATACACTAATATAGGGGAATAACGTATCAATTGATCAATATAAACTGTATACGTATCCATGCATTAAAGTGAATTGGTCTATAATGGAGGGTCTGTTACATAATAAAAACGTTGACGGTATTGAGTATCAGACATAACTACAAACCACGAAATAATTATATGAGCCGCGGCACAACAAAACCAACATAGTGGGTTTGCGACCAGCATGGATCCAGACCAGCCTGCGCATCCACACAGTCTGATCAGGATCCATGCTGTTCGCTTACCAACCCTATTACAAGTAGAGAAACTGATAGCGAACAGCATGCATCCTGATCAGACTGCGCGGATGCGCAGGCTGGTCTGGATCCATTCTGGTCGCAAACGCACTATGTTGGTTTTGTCGTGACGCGGCTCAATTATATGTACATGTATATTGTTGGTAAGTGAGAGATCCATGATCCGAAATTACATACATGTAAATTTATATAGCACATAATAATAGAATGTTCTTGAACACAATTTTATTATCCATTACATAACTGTTCATACTAAATCACTTAAACCTTTATCGACATGTTGTTTTTTTCCAAGGAATATTTCATAAGAATATTGAAATCCATTATGCATGCGCGCGCGCGTGCGTGCGTGCTTGTGTATTTGTTTGTTTTTTTTGTTTGTTTGTTGTTGTTTTTTTGTTGGTTTTTTTTTTTTTTTTTTTTTTTTTTGGGGTGGGGGGGTTGTATCAGTATTTGAAATACTTATAGTGGAAATGGTGCTAATTGTAAACCAATCTTCTTAAACCGGAATTTGATGAAACAGAATGTCATTAACCTTTGCCATCCGAATAGAGCAAAGCCAATTTAAGTCGTGCCGAATCTAAGGGTTTTACTATTTTCATGAAAAAGAACAATTGTTGCCTTTATTCTTAATTCGATATTCATGTACCAACTAAATCTAAAATTTTGACGTGTTAACATCACAAACTAAAACTGTCATTGGAAAATAATTACCAAGGTTTATCTTGAAAGTGTCTGAATAAAGAACAAATGTTGATATTTCATAACTGATATTCGGTATGTAGATGTAATGATACTTGATTTTACATGTATGTCGCTAATACATGAAAACGATTATAGTAATAATGGTCGTGGTGATGATGATGATGATGATGATGGTGGTGGTGATGATGATGGTGGTGATGATGATGATGATGATGATGATGATGATGATGATGGTGATGATGATGATGATGATGATGATGATGATGATGATGATGATGATGATGATGATGATGTTGATGATGATGATGATGATGATGATGATGATGATGATGGTGGTGATGGTGATGATGATGATGATGATGATGATGATGATCTCACATTACAATTGATGATGATGACGACGACGAAGATGATGATGACGACGACAACGAGCATGGAGATGATGATAATGGTCATCATCGTTATCTTATTAATAATAATAGTTATTCCATACAAAAACAGGCAATATCACGATTATTTTACCAAGCCGGTAAATAATTCTAGCAAATACCTTCAAATAAAGTCTCCAGACTTCCAGATCCGTCTAGCCACACCCACTTGTTTCTAACAACACCCGTACCAATCCATGTGTACGGACTGATAACATGTAACTGAAAGATAGAAAAGCTTCGTTATAAATAATTTCTGATGGTTTTTTATACTTTTGAAATAAATGGTCAACCCCCGAGTTTCTTCATACTATCATCTCTCCCTCTCCCACCTTTCGCCTCCTCTCTCACCTCTCGCCCCTCTCCCACTTCTCGCCCCCTATTCAACCTCTCGCCCCTCGAAAAAATATCATTTTCATTATCTTCAATTTATCACATAAAAGTTTCGTTTTAATCAGTTATACGAGTAGTATAAAGTAATTATAAAATATAATAAATAATTCGTTTCAACGGGAAAATTAGTTATATTTATTTCGTTCAACTGAAAAATTATTTCGTTAAAGAGTTTCGTGGAAATGAAAAGCTATTTTGCCATATTTAAGAGAAATAACATTTTAAATTTTAAAAAATCTTTTATGAGTCTATGAAAATTTTTATTTATTTATCAAAGAATAATACTCCATAAAAAAGGTTATGTTTAAAAATTTCCTGACGGGCATTGTCTATAAAGACGCGTTTTGTATACTAGATAAATATTTTATAAACAGAAAAATATCTATTCAAATTTCTGATTTTCTCATTTATATTTTTTTTATATTTATATAAGTTAGTTACGAACAATATCTATTAAGCTGGAATGAATAAATGAAATGAAATATTAAATTATTACAATAAGACAAATATTGACCCTAAATGACGTTCTTTACTCTTTTTTTTTTTTGGGGGGGGGGGGAGGAGGAGGAGGGGGGTATAATGTATAATTGTTCCAGCCTGCAAAATGGCGTACTTATTAAAAACGTAACGTCTGCTTGTTCCAGCTTCAATTTTATCGGAGCCTTACAAAATGGTGCCTTTTTTCCACAAGGGAATAAGATACAATTCTACAGATTCCGCTGACTCGGAAGAAAAGCTAACAAGTTGTGTTAAGATCGATTAGGTTAGCCTATAGATTAAGTAAATTGACTGAACAAATCTAATATTTAACTCTCATGCCAGTCGCTAACATTTGGGCAAAGTAATTCATCATTTATTGTGTGTAGAAGTTCGCCTGATTACTTTTCATTATCCGTAAGGGAAGTTCGCAAATCTTTACAGCGTCGAATTTCTTTCTCAACACTTGTGTGAATATAAATAATCGGTTTTATGAAATGCAAAAAACGAAGAAGGAAGCGCTTTTATGCACCGCGATGTATTCATGCGCATATTATATAATTTTCTACGTTATTATCAATAGTTAAATAATAATGATAATAGTCTTATTAAAATCATCTCCTAAATATTTTTACGCTAAGATTTTTTTAATAACCTTATCTGAACAAGATCATGAAAAATATCAAAATATGTACTGACTGAATAGCAAATAGTGCAGACGACGATCAGACGACACGGCAAACAGTGCAGACGACGATCAGACAGCACGGCAAACAGTGCAGACGACGATCAGACAGCACGGCAAACAGTGCAGACGACGATCAGACGACACGGCAAACAGTGCAGACGACGATCAGACGGCACGGCAAACAGTGCAGACGACGATCAGACGACACGGTAAACAGTGCAGACGACGATCAGACGACACGGCAAACAGTGCATACGACGATCAGACGACACGGCAAACAGTGCAGACGACGATCAGACGACACGGCAAATAGTGCAGACGACGATCAGACGACACGGTAAACAGTGCAGACGACGATCAGACGACACGGCAAACAGTGCATACGACGTTCAGACGACACGGCAAACAGTGCATACGACGATCAGACGACACGGCAAATAGTGCAGACGACGATCAGACGACACGGCAAACAGTGCAGACGACGATCATACGACACGGCAAACAGTGCATACGACGATCAGACGACACGGCAAACAGTGCAGACGACGATCAGACGACACGGCAAATAGTGCAGACGACGTTCAGACGACACGGCAAACAGTGCATACGACGATCAGACGACACGGCAAATAGTGCAGACGACGATCAGACGACACGGCAAACAGTGCAGACGACGATCATACGACACGGCAAATAGTGCATACGACGATCAGACGACACGGCGCAGACGACGATCAGACGACACGACAAATAGTGCATACGACGATCAGACGACACGGCAAATAGTGCAGACGACGTTCAGACGACACGGCAAACAGTGCAGACGACGATCAGACGACACGGCAAACAGTGCAGACGACGATCAGACGACACGGCAAACAGTGCATACGACGATCAGACGACACGGCAAATAGTGCAGACGACGATCAGACGACACGGCAAATAGTGCAGACGACGATCAGACGACACGGCAAATAGTGCAGACGACGATCAGACGACACGGCAAACAGCGCAGACGACGATCAGACAGCACGGCAAATAGTGCAGACGACGATCAGACGACACGACAAACAGTGCATACGACGATCAGACGACACGGCAAATAGTGCAGACGACGATCAGACGACACGGCAAACAGTGCATACGACGATCAGACGACACGGCAAATAGTGCAGACGACGTTCAGACGACACGGCAAACAGTGCAGACGACGATCAGACGACACGGCAAATAGTGCAGACGACGATCAGACGACACGGCAAACAGTGCATACGACGATCAGACGACACGACAAACAGTGCATACGACGATCAGAGACACGGCAAACAGTGCATACGACGATCAGACGGCACGGCAAACAGTGCAGACGACGATCAGACGACACGGCAAATAGTGCATACGACGATCAGCGACACGACAAACAGGACACGGCAAACAGTGCAGACGACGATCAGACGGCCACGGATGTTCTGGTTGATCTTAGTCTGCACTGGTTGTAAGAGTGAATTTTTAAGGCACCACCAGGCCAAATATTAATGCTATATAAAGTAATGTAAAAATCATGCGAAAAATTTTAGTCAAGTGCAACAGTTTTTATTTTTCTTCTATTTTATTCTCTTTAATAGTTTTTTGTTGATAGGAATTCAGTAAATGATCTGCGTTATTTGTTTATATACATTGTGATTTCATCCAGTATATGCAATAAATATGTTTAAACTAATATTAATTAAAACGAAAAGTTTACGCAAATTATTAGGAAAGGAAAATAATATCTTAAAATTCAAAAAGGAAAAACAAACACTTGCATTTTGCAGCAGACGTGTAACAAAGGCTATCTCATCTTGTCCCCACAGTGACGTCAATGTGCTTCCTTTGAGCAAACATATAGCTTTGGCCGAATCAAAGTGAATATGCGCGTCCACAGCCAAGTAGCAAAAGTCCTTGAAATGGTGCCAACCATCTTCACATCCTTCGGGTCCGAGATTTCCTATGACAAAGTAAACAAACGGCTTTAATGAGATGATTTTTTTTATAATAGTGTGCAAGTCAAGTCAAGTCAAAAAAATTATTTAGTAAATAAATGCCACCGGCCCAATTAGATTCAATCGGACTCTAAAATCCTATACATAGCTTATCTGTAGAGGTCGCTACTTTAGATTTTCTTTTGAGAGCTAACTTCGTTTTGATCGATCTCTAAAATCCTAAACATGTACATAACTACATAATCTGTAACGGTTAGAGTGAGTATTTACTTCGTTTTGACCACCTGTCATCAGCTACTAGTCCCAAATTTGCGATACATTTATTATTGTATATTAATATCAAACTTCCAAGCTTGCCAGGACATAGATTTGTTACTATTAAAACATAACTCGTAATTCTATTTTATTACAAAATATTTAAAGCAAGAAGTGTAGATGGGTCTACAAACGTTGTTGACATAAACATATTTTTTTACAAAAAGAAATCATCAATAAGTTCTATTCTAAATAAATTTATCAAGAATGACAAATTTTATATTAAACTTAAAGAAAGAAAGATAAATAAAAGAAAAAAGAACTTTTGGAACACTTGAGGGGATCAAGTTTGTAAAAATTGTATTTAACAATATTATTTTATTTTTTAATGTAAATATACATAAATTAGACAGTTGAGTTTACACCCTCAATTTTATCTTAGCTTTTTATAGAAAGAAATGAAAACTAAAACTATATAAAACTATATTTATTATATATAATACATATAAATGAAATACGGAGAAAAATTGATGAAATAAAATTTGTATTTTCATTTTCCATATTTTCAATGTAAAAAAAATAATATTTTTCACTGAAGTGAAACATATTTTCTGTATTTTCACTGGTGTCTTGGTGGGATACTTTCTTTTAATATAAGCCAATACACAAAATTAAAAGTGAAGTCTTTCAAATCGTAATGTTGAAAAAGAGAAAAATGTATATAATAAACAGAAAATTCAAGTTTTTTTCTATAAATATTCTTCTTATAATTCTATGAATCTTGTGGTATGAAAATTATCATATTTCACTCATGACTACCAAATCCTGTATTTATACAATGAATATCCGCTTGATATTTTAAGAAATTACAAAGAAAGGCTGTGAGACACACGTACATGCAATTGACAATTTTTACATTTTACCCATTTTTTTGAGAGAGGTAGGTGCGGATACTGAATAGAATAAAATAGAATTGAGAATAGAATAGAATAGAGAATATAATAGACTGGAATATAGAATAGAAAATAGAAAATAGAAAATAGAATAGAATAGAATAGAATAGAATAGAGACGTTATTTTTCTTTTTGACAACACACAAAATACCGGTATCCATTTTTTAGGAAATGTTTTATAAACTTAAAACCTAAATCCTATCGAAGAAAAAAAAACACAATTAAACTTTCATACCAACCTTTTGTCCAAGACTTTGACAGCCCTACAGCAACCATCCAAACCAAACAATATCTAAACTCCATAATTCATCATTTTATTCACAACATGTTCTCATACCACGACTTACGATTTCTTCTGCGTTTATTTTTTTCCGTTTTCGGTTCAGTAACATCTAATCACACACTATCGACTCATCTCGCGTCATAAATCTGTAATATCTTCTGGGGGAAAACTCAATAAACTTGTTTTTCAGGAGCCAAGAAACAAATTTGAAGATTGTAAGATTACGGTCGAATGTCAATCTAGAATTTTATTTACAATGTTTTATGTTGCCTTCAGTCACAATATCCCAATGTCTTAATATCATTCCATGAATGTATGGTCGATACTCTTTTCTCTAGATTTAATTTTGCAATAAATCGAAGTTAATTTAAGGATGCTTTATAGTTATTGGATGCGAAATAATCAGGTAAACGTTATTATTGCATTGATTATTATTACTCGTTTTCGCAAGGGGAGGGGGGGGGGGGGGACGGAAGAACTGCAGGACATGGATAATACCGCGAGACGACAAAGTAACCTTTAAAAGCCACGGAATAAATGCTCTCTTATGACGTTACTGCATGCATCGCTGTTTTCACCTGCTGAGTAAATTGTCGGGCTCAAAAAGATAAAGCCACGTTTTATCCCCTGTGACAATTTCTCTCAGGCGTCTTGGGTCTCGATCTTTGAACCTAATTAATAAGGCCGAGGCTTTTTCAACCCGCTCCCTTTTCTGGTCAGACTAAAGCAAATGCTGGATCCAACGGGCGCACACTTTCCTGAACTTTAACTTTTCTTTCAAGATGGAAAGCACATATGACGCACTAAGGCCCGATATGTCACTTATCTCCTCCACGGTATATCTTGCTTTTCCATCAACTCTGGTTTTTACAGTGCTTGTGTCTTTTTAAGAGGTAGCGGGAAATGACCGGATCATACATAACATTAGTTCTACCTTCTTGAACATTGACTTGTACAATACGGAAGGGCATTTTCTCCATAAATTAAATCTAGATCATTTTTTTATTTCTGACGCGCATTTACCAAATAACCCTTTGAATATTGCAATAAGCTCTTTGCTCCTCTCTCAAATCACAATGCAACTCAGCCATGTTTACAACCAGTATTCAAAACCCCAACAATTATATTGCACTTGTAAATCGTGCGAAAATAGCTCTTTTTTTTAAAAAGAAAAATCAACAATCTTTCCCACGGTGTATTATACATGTACTTTCACGTGCAAATCATTGTTAAATTGAGTTGATGATATAAAACGTTTAATGAAATACTCGGAAGCAGCAGACGAATAATTTGGAACTTGATGATTGGTGCACCTTGATATGAAGGACCAAAGACTTTTCTACATATACATGTACATCCTCACCAAAAATGTACCACAGGTGATCGAAAGGTCACATTATCTTTCACAATTTGTATAGGCAAACTATAACCTTTGTGATACCCCGCCAAATAAGTTCAGAATGGATAGCGTTACGTCTACATCAGTTCGATACCTTGTCAAAACCTTGTCAAAACACATATGTTCCCGATGTTAATTTGAACTTAAGAAGTATGTTTGATAAATCTGTTTCACATTTCGCTGAAATGTTCGCAATATTTAGGGTGGAGGAGGTTCGAGGGAGGATGGAGGGGGAATGGGGGTAGGTAGGTGGGGGTCAATATTGGTTTTTTTATAGAAATCATGCACATTTGAAGATAACAGGACCCAAGTGTAATACAGTGCATTTGAAATGTAACTGTCCGCTGGTACATGGTTGAAATACAGTTGAATGTGAGCGTTAAACTGTAGACTTCGGTATGATATGTTTATTTTTTCATGACCTTAAACCTTCCTCTCCCACTGTGAATTTTCCACCGTATGCTTTCGTTTCTTGGGCTCTAAACGATTCATTTATTCAAAATATAATGTCACTACAGGCAAAATTGAGCGTTAATTTACATTTTTTTGTAATTTTTTTTTCTATTTGAATATGGCATGGAAATTGGGATAAAGAACTAGGGCCTACTTGTTAAGTAGATGATAGTGTGATCATCATAAACAGACAGAAGTAGATCAAAAATAAACAAACGTTCCAACATCATAAGTACGAAAGACCTGCAGGGAAATTTCAAAACATAAATTTTACGAAATTTCACGATAACAACTTTACAAATTTACGATTTGACGTCACGCGTTCGCGATATCAACTTCGTGAATTCAACTTCTCGAATTCAGAGGTTTTATAATTCACTTGGTTTCAGCTTCATGAAAAAACGATTTAAACCTCACGAAGTCAATTTTATGAACTAACGATTTAAATTTTACGAATTATTGGCATCAATTTGTGAAATTAAAATTGTGATTTAATGCAGTTAAATTCATGAAGTTGAAACTAAAAAACGTGAATTTGTGAAGACGAAATCGTGAAATTTATTGAAATTATGATTTCGTGAAGTTAATATGTCCCCCTCGGTATTTCATACATACATGTTGCAATATAAAATCAATAATTAATTTTGAAATGATATGTAAATATTGGTAAGATTTTGAATTGATTGAATGAAGTAAACAATTTTTTACCCTACTTTTTCTACTTTAACAAAATCGTTCTGGACTTGTTTTTTATTTTCCTATCGTCATAATACGAATCCGTTGGTCTTGCCAGATTTCTGACACTTTTAATGGACAAATCATTTCAAAACTAAGGGTAAAAAAACAAGTTTTTAAAAGAAAGGAGGAGTAAAAAAACTGAGCCCAGAATATTTTTTTTTAATCTAGTAATTGCGGGGTAGAAAGGTAAATTTTGGATTAAACTCTGGTCCAAATACATCGTCTTTTTACAATAAGATACATTATAATAATTTTGGAAACCAAAGTACCCTAAAAGTTAGGCAACAAAGATCCATTGATTGGTTTCGAACGTATATATTGGATCTAAAATACGCTTTCAACACAGAAAAAAACTGAGAGCTGCCCAAGCACTTCCTTCTGTATAATATTTGGATAATAGTAAAAAGGTAAGAATTTTTGTAGTCTATTTATGTATTTATTTATTTTTATCTTTTTCATTTATTTATTTATTTATTTATTTATTTATTTATTTATTTATTTATTTATTTATTTATTTATTTATTTAACATTCAATTTTTATTTGATAAAAAACTGTTGTTGCTGTACATTTAGTTACAAAATTACAACTTGTGCTTAGCCATAACAACTGCGCTTCCGTTTATTGTAATCTGTAACCAAGCAATCTTTTTTATATTTTAGTCTCACCATGCGTCTGTGGATAATAGTATCAATTGCCGTCGTAATATGTGCAGTTTGCATAGACGCCGGGAAAAGCGACTCCGCTGAAAAAAAAGAAGATTCCGGTTCAGCTGATGATAAACTCGCATCCGAATCAGCTGCTGATGACGGTGATGGCGGAAATAAGCAAAATGAAGATGATGCAAAAGCCGCACCCAGCCCAGTTGTTGGTGACGGAAAGAAAGGAGACGAAAACGAGGCAGAAACTTGCACGGCACCTAAGAGCCAGGAATATGAAGTGAATATCAAGGTGAGCGGAAAGATTGGCCATCTTGTCAAAGTCCTGAAAGCAATAGAGAAAGCAGAACAACCGTCTAACAACTGCGGACAAAATAAGCAGAAGTCAGGAAAACAAGGCTCCGACGAGGAGAATAAAGAAGGTGATGACGATGCTGAAGGTGCTTCCAAATTGCAATCTGAAGGTTCAGGCAAATCATCTGTTTCAGCTCCTTCAAATGGCTCAGGACATGATGAAGATAAAGATTCACCTGCAAGCCAAGAACAAAAGGTAAATAGCCCGGCATCTGAAAGTGATGAAAAACCTGCGAGTGGTAAAGATAAAAAGCGAAGAAGGAGAAGGAGGTAGACTGTTTTCAGAAATACACTCAAAGGTATAAGCGGCACTTATTCTAAAACACAGTTTAAAACAAATGTAGGATAATAACAGGAAGTTTCACACACAACTACTTCATTAGATTAGTGTTATTCGGGAAAGATATTTTAACAACACATATTTGGCAAGAAAGTGACGAGCCGCATACTTCTTTTATAAATCTTTCGAAAATTGTGAGTTAGGACAATTTCTGCATATTTTTTTTTCAGTCTATTTTTAATTATTTTTACAAGCACACTTTTTCCCGTTTTCTTCACAATCATAATCAAGAAATCTTTGTCTTCATTATTTACTACTTTTTTCTGTTTGTTATAATATTTTGTCAATTTTCTTTTTTAAGCTTTTCGTGAAAAACAAAATTTGATGGTTATTACATAAGATAAGAACCATAACACTAATAAATAATAATAATAATAATAATAATAATAATAATAATAATAATGATAATGAAATCAAATGACAGTAAATAAATTTTGGCATCTTTCGCCGATTAGTATAATGACAGTCGAATTGAAAGAGTTTTTGAATATTTTAATAATTGTAAGACAGTTATATGATAAATCATCATCGTTAAGTAACCATGTGTAAAAATTGTAATTAAAGTTTTTAGGTCGACTGTCTGGAAGATATGTCGACTGTCTTTAAGATGTAAAACCGTTGTAATGGTTATACATATTCAACTGATTCAACTCTACAGGATTTTATAATTACAGAAAATGATTTGTATTCATTGCTTACATAAACCGTATGTACTGTTTCTTTGTATGTTCTTTCCCTTTATCTTTTCTTCTAATAAAATTTCTGAGAAAAAAAAGTTTGATGTTCTTTGTGTTATGAAATAGTGTTAACGAAGAACGGAACCAAAACAACAAATAAAAGGAAACCTGTAAAAATGGATTTCACTGTCAAAAGTCATACATTGCGGACAGTATCACTTCTAAAAGATATTGAAATAATATTGTGTTTTAGTTGAATCCATTCAGTGACTTTCGTTAACTGGCAAACCCATTACGACTATATTTCATTATCATGATTTTAAGAGTGATTACATATATGTGCCGCGTCACGACAAAACCAACATTATGCGTTTGCGACCAGCATAGATCCAGATCAGCCTGCACATCCGCGCAGTCTGATCAGGATCCATGCTGTTCGCAATTAGTTTCTCTACTTGTAATAGAATTTTTTAAGCGAACAGCATGGATCCTGATCAGACTGCGCAAACGCATTATGTTGGTTTTGTCATGGCCCGGCTCACATATGTTATTGTTATTGAGTCCAAACATAATGAGCCGTACCCTTGACCCTGCCAGGTGTGTCCGATAAATGAGCCGCGCTGCTAATGCAATTAAGGAGGAGAGAAAAGAATAACAAGTATAGAAAAGATACTAGTGCAATGGTCGTTGCGGATGTCCAAAAATCATGTAGTATTTATTTAACAGTATAGCATATTGAGCTCTGATACAACGTCTGAGTGGAGAAGGTTTGCGATCGCTGAAAACATTTGAGCCGCGTCACGACAAAACCAACACAGTGCGTTTGCGACAAGCATAGATCCAGACCAGTATGCGCATCCGCACAGTCTGATCAGGATCCATGATGTTCGCTATCAGTTTCTCTACATGTAATAGGGTCGGTAAGCGAACAGCATGGATCCTGATCAGACTGCGCGGATGCGCAGGCTGGTCTGGATCCATGCTGGTCGCAAACCCACTATGTTGGTTTTGTCGTGACACGGCTCATTTGTCAGTACCGTAAATGAATAGGTACCATTAAACTATAACATATATTTAAACAACTACATTTTGTAGTTTTTATTTCTTTCCTTTTCGTGAAAACATTTGCAATTTTTCAACAGCCATCTGTATACGTAAGAATATATACTTTATATCGCGTGATATTCACTTTTTTCCCCATCAGATAAATCATACATAAACAGGTTTAATAAATCAATTTAATAGAGATATTTTTCTTAGATTTCTCAGCAATAGTCTAGAAGTGTCCGGTGTATAACATGATAACCAAGACGTCTTTGTTGTTGTTGTTGTTGTTGTTGTTTTAGCTTCACATTGTGTATGCTCGTTAGCTGATCGAAAATTGAGTTCTATATGAAAAGATATAGAATTGCGATTTCTCGTTTCTTTTGTGTGTCCTGTGCATTTTTTTTTACCAGAGACCCGTGCAGCACGATGGAAACTTACGTATTTTACTATCAGTATCCCTGTGGTTTAATCGTCTTAAAGCGAACTAAAGGGAACTAATCTGAACATGAATAGAATATAAGCAAGCGCGTCAGAGTATAAAGAGACTGGTTTGATGCCTGTTCACTTTTAATATGGTCAGACTAATCTACTTATTTTCCGATAGTATTACATGATGAGGAACAGACCAGGGCATACCTTAAAACTGAAAATTCATCCAAAATAAAATGGTATTTTTTCCCTAGGAGAATGATATGTCTGACCCATTAAAATCATCCTGTTATGAAGGAGTCACCAACTTAAATTCTAGCAAAATGCCTTCAAATAGGATTACATCCCTTTCCAATAAAATTTATTCTGACATATACTTTTTTAAGAAGTGAAAAATACTCATAGACACATATAAAATAATCAATGTTTTTTTCTGTTGTTTGCTTTTTTCTTCTGAAAACAATGTAGCGTTATTTTCTAAAATAATCATTCCACGTATACTTTCCTATGTCGAGAAATTTACCAGGGGAGACAAGTAGAACAATCATAAAAAAATCATATTAAAGAGTTATCTTTTCGTTACAAAAAAAAAATCTACGCTTTTATAGAGTTTTTTTTTTACTTATAAATACATAAATAAACTGACATTAATTTCAACCATTAGTGTATTTTGAAATGTTAAATTAATGTTTAATCGGTCAACTGAACGAAATAACTATTGGTAATAACAGGGCGTTTTATTTACTTCATCGTGTATTTTAAAATGCAATTGAATAACATATTATAGGAGGCCACGCCCTTAAGCTCTCCCATAGAATCGTGTCATTTAATACAACCCCCATTTTAAGGGTAAATAAATACTCAATAGAATTGATCTAGAAGAGCATTTAAATTCTAATCTTGTCGCTCAAACTCTTACATTGATTCTGTTTACCAACCTTATTATTATGTTTTTTATTTTTATTCGGTGAATGTGTTGATGGGTTTAAAAATGTTTTAAAAAACTATTGCGAAACTGAAATGTCACGTACATACTTGTACTTAGTATATGTATAGATTTGGCTAAAATTTTGAAATGTTGCCATTCTTTTCATTCTTTAACGTTTCGTTTACAGCGCTCAAATAAAAATGTATAAAAATAAAATACAATACAGAATGTCTACAGGTTCATTATTGAATTCATTAAACTCGTTGAATAAAATTGTAATATGGCGAGCATAATATTATTATATTCAAGAAATTCAATAAATTTAGTTATTAAGCCACATGAATTTATAGAGGATATTCAAGGTTCTTTTATGAATATAGGTTTTATTTTCATCGAGTGCTATGAAAATAAATATTTCACGCGTGGCAGTAGCCACGAGTGAATCATGATATTTTTCATACCACAAGCTGAAAATAAATTCTGTATTTATAGAAAAAAACTCGAATATTCTGTTTATTATAAAGTTATCTCTTTTTTAACCTTATGAATAGGGAGAACTCCCTTTTTATTTTGTGTATAGGCTGAATTTAGAAGAAAGTAGTTCGGCAAGACACCAGTGAAAATACGGAAAATATGTTTCACAGCAGATTTTAGAGTGAAAATATAAAAATAAAAACACGCATTTTATTTCATCAATAAGTATCAATATTTCAGTTATAAGTATATAATAAATTAATATCTTTATATCATACTTAAAATAAGATTTTTGCGACGGACGCGCCCTCAGGCGCGTTCAGAGCTAAGTCATCTACACATGGGATTTCGTCTGCTACAGTCGCGCAAAGTGTCCTCAACCGATTAACAGCCCAAGAAATAGTACATGAATTTGAGCCTTTAAAACTCCCATACTATGTCGGGATATCTTAAAATCTTCCATATTTAGCCTTTTCAATTTCAAATTAAGTTATCCAAGTTAAAATATGAACGTATATGATTGATAAAAACGTTGTAGTCCCGTAGTATTATTGCGCAATATGCAAATTACTGCCGAAACGATTTACCGCTGTCGAAAAAGTAGGACAGCAAATTATACTATAATAAAGGTGTAAGCTCTGAGTTCCAATAAATTATTAGTAGGAAATAAATATTTTACATTATACAAAACATTATTATTAACAAATCAAAAGTTTTTCGTGACTCTAGAATAACTCGCGCATTAATAAAACAAGAACTATTTTCGTGACTCATACCGCGGGTTTAGCTGAATATTCAGCAGTTATTAATAAATTAGATTCAGTACAATGGTTAGTATAAATATATATTTTTGAAAATTCATGTAACAAGAGCGTTTTTCAACACTTTACCACCATGTAGTCTTTCATGGTAATCTTTATTGAAGGAACTTATAATATCAGTTCTACTTCCGATTCTTGTGGTTTGTTTACATATTTTTCTAGGTCACGATATGAGTTAACCTTCGCTATTCTATAAATAGATTCTGATTTGCCTGTGCTGATTTTCGGACAGTAGGGAGTACACATTATACATGTTATAAACCAACGGATACTTACTTTGTTCTTAGAAATTCTATACAATTGTAAGAAGCAAACAAGTTGAAAATGGAATTTAGTGTGAAAATGAAAAGGACAACTAAACACTGTAGTGCTTAAGTGACATTTAAATTAAAATAAAAACGATGTGCTCTGGCCCTTGTAAATAAAAAAAAACACTAAAAAATACACTATTAATTGCTGATGATTTTAACCAAAAATACTTTTAATGAGACGTACATATCCAAGAGAAATAAAAATACAAATTTTATTGTCTGTATGCCCACTATGATATAACACGAAGCAATTCTAAATAACATTCTCACATGTATAATGTATTATGCTTGACGTTTATTTGCATGGTTTTTTAGAAATATTTCGTTGACAGTTTTTTTTTCTATTTACATATCATTTCTTGAAATAAATCGATAATGACACTGATTTACAAGTTTGACCAGAGTTTTTAGGCATAAATTTCATTCTGTATTTAAATGCTTGAAAGTAGAAAATCTGGATTATATCAGATTGGGACACAAAATATATTGCTCTACAAATCTCGAACTTGTATGGAACAAATTATTTTTTGTGTTTTATTTTTTTTTCTAAAAATAACCTAAATGTCTCTCCGGTTGCATGTCCGTCGCATTCAGTGCTGCAGCACTTTGATTTTTATTGACACGCTCATAGAGTAACGGAAACACTACGCATGCGCACACACTGTGTTTTGATGTAACATTAAAATATTTGCACGGCCGCGCAGTACCACTTTAAATTTACAGAGAACGGCACGGTACATACACAGCTAAGAACTGTGTAGGTTTGTAAATCAAAGCACTATTAGATATGGTGGCTGACTTGATACGTTAAAAATTCTGATCAAACCAAGTCATGCTCTGGCAACATAATCCTTAGAGTGGTTTATGTAAACAGGTTTGCCAATACTTTTAGAATCGTGATCTATAAACACAGATTGAAGTTCAAAACCCTTTTCAATTACTTATTTCAGATTGTTTTCTTTTACAATGCATTTCAACCTTTGAATAAATGCCTAACTTTCAAGACTTCATCAAAACGGTGCATTGAGGCGCACAGGGTTGCCTGTTCAACATAGTTTAAACTTGAAACTATTGACTTTATAGACATCCTGCACAACGTGATTTTTTATTGCATATTTCATCGTTTGCAATGTATTCTAAATATCAAATTCTATGATAAAGTATATAAACGGCCATCTGCTACGGAAGCACAGAGGTGACATGGGGGAAATCATTATCTCGTGGTCACAAGATAATTTTAAAAACGGGGAAAAAAGACAAAGCAAACGTATATCTCGCGGCCAATTATGTTTGCTTGTAAACTCATTTATATATCTCGTGGCCAAATGGCCATATCGTGGCCACAAATTAACTTCTTTATTTTTATTACTATAATTATCTCGTGGTCCCGAGACAATATAATTATCTTATATCTCCTAAACGCTTCCGTAATCTGTCGACGAAAGTCACAATTGCGGGTCTCTCTTAAGCATATATGGTAGATCACAAGCGCGTAAAGTGGTCAGCTCTGCACTGCTTAGCTTGAGAAGAGTCGAGCTTTACGAATGTCTGTTTAGATCTGCTCAGTTGTGAAAATTGACATTAAAGGGGAAGCGTTTCCACACGAAAATTCAGTTATATATAGACAGTGCTGACACGATTGTCATGATTTATCAATAATTGATTATATCCCGATTAAACGATATTTCAACTTTAAAAAAGCTAATGATCCACAATTAAGCATAAACATAGCTGATCCGTTACCAAATCTAACCAAAATAAGAAAGAAGAAACTTATGTGTGACCTAACTTTACTATGGAACCACAGGAAAATACGAAGCTTTAAAAGATACAAATGTATATCCATTTAAATTTCTTCAAAAATAACTTATTTTCTAGTTTCTAAAGGGAAAGAAAACAATCGAATAGATTGAAAATTTCACCTTTTTTATTTACAATACAATGCAACAGCTCTTACACCGATGCGTTTTGTCGGATGCAAAACACTTCCCTTTTAGATTGAACTTATAGCCTGGTTCCACGATATAAGTCTCGATAAACTACCCATTAAATCAGACAGTGACACAGTCCAATATTATTTGATTAAAACAGTGTCCTTCCATTTGAAGAAAATGTAAATAAAAATGTTTTGCAACAAAGGAAGAAAATTAAAATGGGCCCCGAAGTGTATAAAGCTGACGTATGTGAATGATTTGAGCCGCGTCACGACAAAACCAACATAGTGCGTTTGCGACCAGCATAGATCCAGACCAGCCTGCGCATCCGCGCAGTCTGATCAGGATCCATGCTGTTCGCTATCAGTTTCTCTACTTGTAATAGGGTTTGTAAGCGAACAGCATGCATCCTGATCAGACTGCGCGGATGTGCAGGCTGGTCTGGATCCATGCTGATCGCAAACCCATTATGTTGGTTTTGTCGTGACGCGGCTCATTTTATATTAATCGCAAAATAAATCAAAATAAATCGTGTCATTCCGCAGTAAACCATGCGTCTTATTTAAAACCATATAAAGCTCGGCTGCTTCGCTGTCGAATAAAAAATGGGTTATGATGATGCAACAAACGAGCTTGAAATCGTGAATTGGATCATTCTTAAAATTCACATTCATAGTAAAATGTCACTTATTCTGTACTTTTGTTGAGATCACTTATGAACAAAGGCTGTTAGATTAATTGACCTTGGTTTAGCAGGTTCGGATAGGTCCGGATGCACTATGGAATATTCAATACTTATTTTAAAGACTGCATATTAGAAAAAATAGAAAAGCAAAATAAGTATATATGTTACACTTTAAAAGACTTAAATGTAATGATTTTTAGATATAAACTAAACATTATTGGACAATATGTAATTTACAGTTTACAGTCATTCTTGATTATCAGGCAAGATAAAGGTTTAAAATTTCAAAGCTTGTTTACGCTTAAATTTTAATTTCTTTTTTTAACAGTGCAATAGTTCTATATAATGTGATTCATATTTGGATTAAACTGGAATAATTACACTTTTCAAAACGCGTAGAGCTACACACTTTTGTATAGGCGACCCTATTACTTCATTTTTAATTTTAATCAAATGCGTTAAGTTTATTGTAACGGCTTAAGAGATTATACAAAATCCAATTGGTGGAAATCACAAGTGTTTTGCGGTTACCATTTTGTCCTTAATTTAGTTCCACGAGGAAACACAACTTAAGGAATTGTGCGAAGTACAGTGTTTATGATTAATGCGTTATAGTTTGCAGAAAGAAATGGCGATTATGTTTATGTATCTCCTGCCGGTGCTTTTTGCAATTGTGTTTATTCCTAAATCCATTGACTCAGCCACAGTTATAAAAACAGATGAATTAAAAACTACAATTACAGAGATGACGGGGATTGGTATAGATGAAGCGGCGCAAGACGGAAGTCCGGAAAATATAAATCAAAATCATAAACATCGGCATGGAAAAATGGAATCGGACATGAAAAGCGGCGCTACTGACGAAGTTTCAAGAATGGCTGACAAAATGAATAGTGATCAAGAAATAACATCTGATGATGATCAGTCAACAGACGACAATACCGATACACGGGACGAAATAGATGAAGATATGTTAGAAGATAGTCAAGAAGATAGTGTGAAAGAACTTACTGACGATAATGACTCAATCGGTATTGGTAATGAAGAAATTGATTCAGATGATGAAAATATTGATGGGGGAGATGATGACGAGGATGGTGAATTAGATGATAGTGCAGACGAAACAGTTAGTAATGAAAACGACAATATATCAGAGAATAAAAAAATGCAAACAGATGCAACAGAAAGTGAATTGCCTGAACCCGATAATGCATGCCCTAGGTGCACTGATGAAACATTAAGCGAGAAAGATATTAAAATTGAAATGGTGAAGCAAACTTTGTTACAAAAACTCGGTTTGTCGTCAGCTCCTGAGGTCGATGGACCACTTCCACCACTCCCGTTCGACTTTTATGTAGGAGAAGATTTCTCAATGAACGATGAAGAAGACAATGAGGAAGAAGAAAGGAGACAAACTGTAAAGACACGGGAGATTTTCGTATACGGAAAAGACAGTAAGAGTTTTGATATTGCATGGGACCATAAGTTTTATTATTTTCATTGTTACGTAATGGTAATCACAATAGGAAAGTATTTCTATGTAATGGAATGAATACATAATCGACTGCAAGACTTCGTTTTGGTTATACGAAATCTAAATGTAACGTATGTTACGTATAGACGCATATTCGTTTTACCCATAACAGCTTGACCATTCAGATTATTAAAGAATGTAGGCAAAAATTAGCTTGTATAAATATATCAATAAAATCACATTAAGAACTTAATGTTGTATGTAAAAACAGAGCGCCCTTAGATTCTAAAAGCCCTATTTAGCGTTTATTTAAATATGGCGAATGATAAAAACAATGCCGAATGTCTGCCCCGTGGTGTAGTGTCCAATCACCTGCATGTAAGAATGTGCAAGGGTAGACTATAAGCGTGCGTGACATTTCTTTTGTTGGCGCATTAAAACACTAAAAACATTCTGACAGCAGACGACATAAATGTGAATAAAAAAAAGAATTTTGCAATTCTATGATGAAATCTTTTCTTCGATCACGTATGTGTCACTGTTGTTTAAGGCTCGATATTTGGCGTCCGCACAAATGTAACAGTAACGCGCATGCGCGCCATTCTGTAACACTTTACGTACAAGGATAATTGTAATGTCAGCAATTTCAGAATAAGAAACAAAAACAGAATAAAGTTGCGGCAGCTGTATGACATACAGCGTCTCAGCTGCAAATTAAAAAAAACTACTTTAAAGGCACATAAAGCCTCAAACACAAATAAGTTGTTTCTTTCCTTAGCAAGGGCTGACATGAAATTTATAATAAGATAACATATTTCATGCTTATCACCATAAGAAAGAAGCGCTGAAAATAAAATTATCTGTCATATATTAGTAACAAAATGTAAACAATTAAAGTAGTATTCTGACTTTCATTCAAAATACTAAATAATTCAACTTTACTAATTGCTAACAAGTAACAGAGGCAAGATTGTTCAGCAAGAAACCAAAATAAAAAACTTTAATGAAATCAAAATAAAAGCTTTTCTGAGGCATAATGGCCCTTTTAAATAATAGTTTTTCGATATTTTTTTTCTTTTTAAAAGAGCCACCCTTCTTTAGCAGCAAGGAGGTAGTTATTCAAAATTTTGTGTCAATTCAATTTGTATTTAGCCGTACATAGTCGTACATAATCTTACATGAGTTGTGCTTTTTATAGACTTATTCGTTAAAGACGAGTCTAGAAAAAAGGTTTTTATAAAAATCGTGGAAAATGGAGATCCCTTTTGAGCATTAGAAAAACAAAATTCCGAAGGTGAAAATTGCATATAAGGTTTGATTAAATCTCTTTAGAAAGTGTATGGTGTTTGTGCTTTATTATTTAATGTGATTTATTTATTTATTTATTTATTTATTCAACCAGTCAGCCGTTTGTTCGTTCGTTCGCTCGTTCGTTCGTTCCTTCCTTCCATCCTTCCTTCCTTCCTTCCTTCCTTCCTTCCTTCCTTCTTTATTTATTTATTTATATATATATATATTTATCTATTTATTTATTTATTTATTTATTTATTTATTTATTATGCTGTAACACTCAGTATCTCTATTACTGATAGTTTTTTATTGCTTCTTTTGTTGTTGTTCATCTTCTTCTTCTTCTTTTCTTCAAATTATTATCATTATTCACATCATCTTCACTATCATCATCATCATCATCATCATCATCATCATCATCATCATCATCATCATCATCATCATCATCATCATCATCATCATCATCATCATCAAAATCATCATCATCATCATCCTCGTCATCCTCGTCATCATCATCATCATCATCATCATCATCATCTTGTGATAAATACTATTTTTATATATAACAAATAAGGAAAAATGAATTAAACGCTTCCGGCGTGAATATTTAAGTGTTTCTTGACATTTTGATTGTTTTTAATGAGCTTCCTCTTAAGATTAAGTGGCTTTCTAGTGAAAACCACCACAGTTTGTAAAAACAGGGGTTAAAAATAATAATGTTTTGACCGAATAGTTTTACTTGATTTCTGATTTCAAAAGTATATATGACATTTACTCGGAAGCGAAGCTAATGTACTTAGAAATTACATGTGTAATCTCATTGTGATGAGGTCATTTTAGAAAATAACGATCGCCATTTGATGTCGTTAATATCGGAATCGCATACGTGAATGGAAATGTACGAAAGACCGGTGGCGACATTTCAACTTCATGAATTACCGATTTCATCTTCATTAATTCACTATTTTTTCTTCGTGAATCACGTTTCAAACATACAAAATTCACGAATTCACTCTTCAACTCCATGAATTACGATTTCAGCTTCATGAATTCACGATTCCTTCTTCAGAAATTCAACTTTATGATTTCGTGAAGATGAACCCTTATATGTTTCGGAAAGTTTTTCCTGTTCAACGACTGGCGCCCTAAAGCTAAAGATTTAGACAATTTTATTGAAAAAAACATGTATACAGTGAAATGTAATTTCTCATTCTATCATTATATCCTATGAATCACTTTTATTTAATTATTTATTTATTTATTTATTTATTTATTTTGTAAAGAAACTTATACAAATGTGTTTCTATTGTTCCGTATGAAACAGACTCTGTTACAATAAAAAAATATTACTGCATTAAAAATAGACGACTGAAAAGTTTAAAGATGATGCAATCAGCATGTTTACAAAAATACATATATATGTTAAAGAACCCCCCCCCCCTACCATCAACAAGCGTACACGTACATGTGCGAATGCATTCGACGCGCACGACTTCCGCCCAAGCAAATAAGCGGAAATCTATTAAAATATTGCAATAAAGAAATGTTAAGTTCATAAATTATAACGAATCTCGCTGGTGAACGTTATTGAAACTGTGTCCTTGAACCCAGTTTACTTCTAAAATTAGTGAAATTAATATTATTCGATTGTATTGGATACACCAAAGTTCATGTTAAGTGCAGATTATGTGAGAGTAAAAAGAGTAAAAAAGGTTTTATTTATTAACTTGTCTGTAACACACAATAAAGGGGGAAAGATATCTGAAAAAGATAATTATGAAATCTGATATTAAATATGTCCTTGAGTTGAAGATTTGTTTGGTATATATGGTTTCTTTTTCAAGGTCTTTGACCGTATATATTCTTTTTGTAGGTCTTAACAATTTGTATTTTCTATTTTGTGCTTGTTAATGTTAATGCGTTATTTCTTTCGCGAGCGTTCACTCTTTAAAATAGATTGTTCACTCTTTAGGCAAGTTACAGCGTCTATCTTTGTATGTCATTACGTAGGTTGCTAGCACCTTACGCATAATTATATTTATATACACCATGACTCTATAAGAAACAGAGGGGAAGTAATACTAAATACAACATATATACTCCAATTAAAAGCCAAACTCAGTGCCACTGACTGTCTCAATGCATTTTAGATAAGTCAGTTGTTATTTTATCATGACCACGAGTTCCATGCTACTTGTATCAATATTTGAAAAAAATCTGTTAGTTAAAGCAGCATGCCATCAGGTTCATGCTAATTTTCTTGAAAAATTTATAAATGTAATTAAAGGTTAATATTGTAAAGTGAACAGATAAAATAATTAACACAATGCAAACGGCACTTACAGTCCAAGTAAATTACAAAAAAGAAGTAAAAATAAGCAAAAGTTAGTAACGCAGTAGATATATGTCGATAAATACTACAAAATCAGTCCGTAATAGCACATAACAGATAAATGTTTACTTGAAACTAAATTCTTTTTACTTTTCTTAAAATCTGTGTACATTTTGCTCAGTTTTAATTTTCTTGAAAAAGTTTGGCTCAACTGGAGGCATGCATCTTTAAAGAGGAAAATGGAGACAATTAATTAATCTAACCCGGTTTTCTTTTATCTACGTATACTATTTTCTTAGATATGAGTATTTTTTAAATTTAATCAATGAATAAAGAATACAACATTTTATTATCCTTTTTTTTCTCAGTAACCAAGAAATGTGCGAAGAAGAGAGGCACTGGTTGTTACAGTTTCAACACGACCAGCCCCAACATTGACCCAGATTTGGTGTCAAGTATCGAACTCTGGATCTATAAACAACCGGATGTGAACGACCATCATATACAGGTACTAGAACCCAAACTTAAAATGGAATGTCGCACTGTAATTTAAAGGCACATTATGCCTCAGAAACAAATAAATTTTTAATTTTATTTAAAAACAAAAGGGGAAAACATGAATTTTATAGTGTTTAAATAATGGTTTTAGAGAATATTAGATGCTTGTTACCTGAAGAAAGTAGCGATAAATGTGAAATAATTTATCATGAAAGTAGCAAAATGTAAACAAAGTGGTAATTTGACTTCCAAACAAAATACTAATTCACTATAACTGTACTTGTTAACAAAATAGAAACACATGAAAAAGATGATTCAGGTAATTAGCCAATGAGTAAATCTTTAGATACTTTAAAAGTACACCAAAATTAAAAAGCTTTAAAGAGAAATAAAAGCATTTCATAGGCATTATTGGCCTTTAATGTTGTCAATGCTTGTAAAAGAATGACACGCTTACAGTATGTCATTGAGGTACAATGCCAGGCCAGCCGACAAATCGGTGTCGTCTGCTGAATCTCTACATTGCACCCCAATTGTAATGTTTAGGCAACAAAACCCATAAAACTACATATGAACTGTTCCAATTTCAAAGCAGGAAAAGTCCATAGTATAATATCATCTGGACAGAAGTGAATGTGCAACTAAAATAATGTAGTTACTTCAGCTAAAATTTTCAAATTGGTTTAAAGTTTAGATTTGGTCCATACTTGTAAATAATTTGCTTAGATAGAAAATAAAACTGATTTTTGATGCGTAATATTAATGATTACCAATTTTATTCATTGCCCATAAATGTGTAGATTTCTTTTGACAGGTTTTCCATCTATGACATACTAATGTACAAATAAGAAAACAGGAACAAATATTTTTTTTTTATTTCAGGAATTCATGGTCTCTGAGCTCCAGCCCTATATTAAGGGCGGAAAAGAAGTTCTACGATTCAAGAATATCGTAAAACGAATTGATACACGGTTAAAGTACGGCTGGATGAAGATCTATGTCAGAAGAAGCGTGATAAGATGGTTATCCAAGCCTCACCGTAACCATGGTCTTGCTGTCGTCTGCAAAACTTGTCAGCGGGAAAATCATAAAACTATATATGGAAATAAAGAAGGTAAAGTATCACTTGATGAATTTTTAATTCAAGCAGTGAAATGAATGAAATTTCATTCTAGGTGCAGTTAATGGCAGTTATATTCATGGCAGTTACAATGATAAAACTATAAGCTAATCACAACGAAAGAAGAGAATGTACTTTTTAAGCCATTTAAACAGCAGCTGCTGTAAATGACAACTTTTTATCTTGCTGAAAGGGTGTGTCAAAACGCTAAATAACATTATTTCAATATATTTGTTGTTGTTGTTATTTAATATTATTATTATTATCATTATTATTATTTTTATTTTATTTTTTTTTTAAATAGATTAATATGTTGCTGATATATTGATGAATTTGACCTTTTAAAATAAATAAAAATAACAAAAATCGATTGAAAAAAGAATGCATGTGATTTTTAACATGTGAATATGTTTCTTTTCAAGGTTATATGCCAATTCTTGTTTTCTATATGAAACAAAATGCCCGCTCTCACAAACGCGTCAGACGACACACAAATTGCAGAGAAGGCGGGTCAAATTGTTGCCACAAAGAGGAACTAGAGATTAACTTTCGCGACATTGGCTGGGACTATATCATGACCCCAGAAAGTATACGACCTAATTTTTGCACAGGATCGTGCAATGGTATGCTGTATAGAATCACTTTTAGTTTGTAGATCTTGTCAATCACATTTTCATTTTCCAAAGTGAATTTCCTTCATATGATAGTCATAGTAAAAAGCAATGTGAAGTACTATCATACGAAAGACTGGTGTGGAAATTTCAAATTCATGAATTCCCTTCGTGAATTCACAATTTTAATTTCGTGAATATACGGAATTCACGATATAAGCTACATGAATTCACGATTTCAACTTCACGAATTCACTATTTCAACTTCATGTTGAAATCATCGTGAATTTGTGAAGTTGAAGTCGTGAATTCATGAAGTTGAAATCGTGAGTTCATGAAGTTGAAATGTCCCCGCCGGTCTTTCAAACTGAAAAGACAATCTTCGTTAGTTTAGTATTGGAGGGGCTGTTGATGCTATTGCTGTTGGTTTTACACAGCTACATGTATAGATAGAGAACAAAAGGTAACAAACCGATGACTTTATACAGCACAATACTCATATAATTTACAAATCAATAAGCCAGTAATGGCTTTTCAAACATCAATTATGTTACAATTCAACATCTATCAGAAAATACATATATGCAAACCATACAGAAAAAAACAACACACTGACGCAGTCGATATGGTAAGACGAAAAATTAGGTTTGTAAAAACATCTGATTTCTCAATTCGAAAGCTTTAATTACATAAGTTGCTGATTTTTTAAGTGTAAGTTAGTTTAAAAAATGTCAATGTATTTTCCCTTTAGATTATATACGTATACTACACCCTAATAGAAAAAAAATTATGAGTTCCATGTATAAATGTCTACGTTTATATTGGCTAAATAAAGATCTAGGTCTTTGCCAAAGGGGGCTGCCATGGTGCCTAAATAGTGTACCAGTATAGGGTCAGTTTTGAAAATAAACGGCACAAAGCGCTCGTGTCACCCTTATTAACACTCTATTGCCTTTCACGGGGCATTTTGACATTTTCTGGAAATGCTAATATTTATTTCTGTTTAATATTCCAGGTGTTCGAGCAGCGTACTATAATCATACACGTCTCGTGCAGACTCTTCAACAGAGCGTGACGAATAATTACGCCCAGGTTCAAACCTGTTGCTCCCCGGTGTCGTTTGGCCGACCACAGAGTCTGCTCTATAGGGATCACGAGGGCAACGTTAGAAAGGTGGATGTCCCCGACCTTATTGTCGGGGAGTGTGGTTGTACTTGAATGTATTTGACATGTTAAAGGAAAAATGAATGAACTTTAGTTGTATGTCTGTTTTGAATCAAATGACTTTTGTGGTTAGTATAATGTTTTGTCATTTATTACATATATAGGCAGCAAAATTGTGAGCTTTTTTAAATTGCAGCGCTATTTATAGATTACTTGTCACACTGGAAGCTGTTGCTTTTATTTGAAATGCATGATTTTGTATGTCGTCTGTTTCCCGGCAAGGGTCAAGGTCGTAAGTTATTTGTAACGATAATTTATTTTTCGGAAAATGCATTATTTTGATGCGTGCCTTGTAATGAAATTTTATGTTAGATGCGACTGAATCAAGAAGTTTGTTTTGTTTTAAGATAACATTGTGTTTGCCTGACTGTATGTACATGTAAATTAGTTCAATATTTTTTGTCATTTCAACAGAAATTATTTTTATGCTCCTCAAAGGGTGTGCACAAAGTCGCCGCTTTGTCCGTCCGTCCGATCGCTTTTCTTGTCCGGGACATAACTCTGAAACAACAATATGTATCAACATGAAACTTTGAAGGTAGATAGATCTCATTGGGTAGAAGTACAGTGCAAAAGAAGTTTAAAGAACCATAACGCTGTCTTGCCTTATTTTGGAGTTATTGCCCTTATCATTTTTTCACTTTGAACTTTGTCCGGAAAATAACTCTGAAATTATAAGAGGTATCAACATGAAACTCAAAGGGTAGATATATCCCATTGTGTAGATGAGCATATCAAAAGAACCGTAACTCTGCCTTATTTACTTTTGGAGTTATTGTCATTTTTGCAATTTTACACTGTGAACTTTGTCCGGGACAATACTGATAAACTACAAAAGGTATCAACAAGAAACTTTAAATCAGTAGATAGATCTTATTAAGCAGAAGTGCAGTGCAAAGAACAGTAACTTTGCCTTGTCTAAGTTTGAAATTATTGCACTTTGAACTTTGTCCGGGACATAACTCTGAAACTATACAAGAGGTACACAACCTATTTGGGGATTATCACCCGGTTCAACCGGCTCTTGTTTACATAGGTAAAACAGTTTTCTTATTGGTTTTACAGCAAAGAAATGCGTTTCACACTTTCGAGCTAAATGTATATAAATGCAGAAAAATTCAAAACTTAATGAACATAATACATGTATGAACTTCGAAGAGCAATGTGTCCTTGATATAGAATATGGAAAATGTTATTGCAATATGAATATTTTATTTTTCATTATTTTATGTTATTCGTTTTTCCAAAAGATATCTTTAAAGGCACACTATGCCTCAGAAATAAATAATTTTTCATTCTTTAGAGATTAAAACTTTATAGCATTTAAATTTAAAATACAAAATACAAAATACTTAATCACTATACAAAATACTAAATCACTATAACTGTACTGGCTGCCAAAAAGCAACAGAAGCCAATAGTGGTTCGTGTAATCATTTTTGAAACTAAAACTGGACACCAAAAATAAAACGATTTTTAAGAAATAAAATTTAAATATTTCTGAAGCATAATGGGCCTTTAAAAAGCCAGTTGAATATATACATGTTTTTTTCTACATGTCATTCGTTACAATATTTATTTGTTGACGTCATAATCTAACAGTCATTGTACATTTGAATACATGAAATATTCGCCACGATAGTCGGTGTTCGAAGTATGGATTTAGCTGTCAATAGAGGCTTTCATATTTTTTTTCAGAATACATTTAAATTTTGTAATTCATATGTGCGTTTCGCTAAATTGAATATGCGCTTGGCTTAATGTTTAATTTGCGTAACCATAATAGGCGCTCGGATATTTGTAGGCGTTTGAGTATCAGTGTAGACCGACAACTTGAAAGTCCGTATGCGCTTGAATGAATGTACGCAAGCGCGCGCTCAACTTGTAGAACGTTTGCATGTCAATAATTTTAAGTATGTGTGATTTTTATCGTATATAATTATTACATTTGATAGGTTTATTTTTAGAAATTAATTGGTACATACAATAGTATGCTACCAGAAATCAATGCAAACTGGGAAAATTCCTTTTAAAATGCCAGATATCAATGCAAATTGTAAATATTTTTATTGTGTGTTTTTCTTCTTAATTATTTTTTTACTTTTTTTGTATATCAGTAGAATGTAGATTTAAAAAAAATAAAGGGAGACAATCCGTATTAAACTTTTATGTTCTCTTTAATCCGAGTAGTCCCCCCTGTCATTACCTCCATAAACCATGAGCTCCTTTGTAGATTCGATTGGATAATTATTTTTCACAAAGTACGGCTGGTTACCAGCCTAATATAATTCTAACATCATTTTGAAATCACGATAACTATCATCATAATCATCATCATCATCGATGTCAACGTTATTACCATTTTCATCAACATTTTTATGATATTTGTTATTACGTTTAGGCTGGACCAAGATTCTTTATTCAGTGTCCGCAAAGAAACTATTCGACGGAAATTACTTTTTCCTTCATGCTGATATAAAATTTAACGTTTCACGCCGAATAATGTTTGAAAAATGGAAAGAAAATTGGCAATTTTGTGTAAAATTTGACGTTTAGTTTAGCTACAATTTTCGGTTTCATTTATACTGAGTATACATTTTAAAAGATATTCAAAGAAAAAAAATAATAGGAAATTTTCCATAAGCCGATTTAGAGCCGAATTGTAGATCAGTAGCATTTAAGATATTTGTTTGAATTCGACGTCATGTTCCAAAACAGGCTTTAGTGTCAAATTTGAAGTCCACGCCTTTTCACCCCTTTTGAGGCCTCAAATAGTGAAAAAAATGCCCTTTACAGACCCCAACAATTGTTTTCGTTTCAGAAATTTGGTTAAAAAAAGTCGCCGCCTCATATCAAAAAGGTATGTCAAGAGGTTGCTCCCAAGAGGGGATGTGCCCCCTTCTGTTTGGGGGAGCGTACGGCATCACCAAAGTAACTATGACTCTCATAAAATTTAGTTCTAGAATGTCTCTAAAATCTAGAATGTTTTATTTATGTGCTGATTTGTAATGTGTCCGATTTTCATGTACTGCAACTTCACAATAAGCTACATGTGTACAAAAAATCGACATGTCTCGCTTCGCCGGGCTGAAATGAACCTGTGGCTTGATTATATATGCATCATACATATTTTATATGTTCATATACAAGATACAAGATACAAGAAAATTTATTTTACGTCGGATACATATAAACAGAAAACATTAGCTCATGAGCTATTTTCCGACAAACAATAGTATATGAACTAAACAAAAGTAAAGCAGCTAAAAAGAAAATATAAGCATAAGCACAATTAAGTACATGGAAGTAAGATATTAAAGCAACTAAAAATTATAAGCATAAGCACATCTAAATACATGGATTTAAGTTATTATAGCACCATGCATGCTTAAAAGTTACAATAATTACAAGCAAGATAAAACAAATAACAGATATATATATAAATAATGTACATTCCTGTAAAAGAGTTATATATTAGTTAAAGACAGACATGTATAAAAATAAGCATAAGCACATCTAAGAATATGAAATTAAGAAAATAAAAATTTAAGATAAGTTAAAAACTACAAATGTTACAAGGAAAAGAGTACAAAAATAAGATATACATATACACCTATGTACATACCTGTAAAAGAAATATAATAGATATATATAAAAAAAAAAAAGACATACATATTAGTAAAAAAAAACATAAAACAAAACAATGAAATTACAAGGACTATCACATAATGCAAATAAAAAGTAACATTAAACATTTATTGGTATAATATTTGCAACATCTAAAGACTATACATAAAAGCACATATAAAAACATGTTAATCACATACAAACACATGTTAGACACACATGTGTTTAACAAAAGGCTACAAGCGGCACATTGAACACTTACATTTTTATATCATCTTCGGACAAATGGCAGTGTATTGTCCAAAAATAATAAAATTCATAAAAACACCCTATTTTCGGTTTTGCAGCGGCACGGGCTACCTCTCTTAATTTAAAAATCGGGCACATGACAAATCAGCACACAAATAAAACATTCTAGTGTTCCGTGATATACATCTTTTCTACGTGTCATACCTCCTTTCCTTATTACAATGAAATTTTACTGTATTGTTATCCATCGCTGGTTTGTTTTTAACAGAGAATTACCTGTGCATGTTCAGAGAGGGTACCGTTTGAGCAGATTTCGCAAAGAGGGTACCGATATGGATATGCACCTTGTATCAGCCATACTGGTTAAGCAAGGTGCTTTACAGATTGATTCTAAATTTTTGAACGGAAAAATATATTCGAATACACTGACGGTGCATGGGCAATTATTTCGTTGAAAAAATATTCCGTTAAAATGTTCTGACTCAGTTAAACGCTTGCATTTAAATTAGCCAATCAGATTTCGCGCACTGTATGGCCGCCATTTGTTTATCGGCTGTAAATGGAATTTAAATACATGAGAGGGTTAAATTATTTTTACAAAAGGTATTTATTTTTTAGTTTTGTTCATAAATAGGTCAAAACTAATGTAAATACACGCTGTCTTAATTGTTTTTCGTTCCGCCCGATTTTTTGGCGGAACATGCTATGGGTTTTTGAGCAATTTCGATATGACGTTGCTTTGCCCAGAAGCAAAAATATCTCAAAGCGACGTCATATTTATAGGACTACCTCTGTATGGGACCACGTGTTTATGCTGTATACTAAATATCAAGAGGCTGTGACAGGTACTTGCTAAGAAAACTGTTACGAAAATTCCCTACCATTGACCATTTATGTCGAAAATTTAATTAAGTCGGTAAACATAGAGTGGATGAGCAATAGACCTGAAATTGAAACCCACTGTTGGGTTCACGTGTTGATGTTGTGTACCAAATATCAAGAGGCTGTGATAAGTTGTTGCTGAGAAAACTGTTACGAAACTTTCTCGCCCGCATTCACCATACTTTAACCCGGCCAACAAAAACATTACTTAAAGGGACGAGCCGAGACATTTTGGCCGGGCGTCTGGTCCTTCTTCAGGGAGAACAAATGGCGGCTTCTGGTGCATATTTTGAAATAGAAATGTCTACAAATTTATCACTAAGAACATGGATATAATTATTCAAAAGTAAAATATATTACATGTAATATATATACAGCAAATGAAATAGTTCTAAAAGAAGAATAACAATTTAATTAGCATTATGACATGAATAAGATCAAGGTAAGTTACATACATATATATTAATAATGTATAATTGCTTGCTATAATTTGATTATTAAGAAACTTGCTGCACTTCAGCCAACAAACGTACGCGATCGTTAAACTTCGGGTATTTCCGTACAGTTTCAATAAACGTATAACAGTAGGCAAGATAGTCATATCTACCACAGGTGAATGATTCAGTCTTATAAAGAGTCTTCTTTTCTGTCTTCACGCAGCCTTGCTTCTTTTGAAGTAAATACATCGGGGAAAAAACACAAATGAATGACGTCATCGATTAAATGCACTCGTCATTTCGGCTTTGACGTTTCATTTCGTGTCTTCCTCCGTGTAAATATGTCTTAACGTAATCTTCAAATAGAGTCAACATGACCTTAGCATAAACAGAATTACATATTTAATACACGAATGTTGTTTTTTCCTCGCCTTGTTTTCTTTTATTTCTGTTTGAACGTACTAGGCAGAAAAATTCCGCTGCGGCGGTTGATTTAATTTATCTTTGAATGAGGAGCTAGCTTTCATTTGTAGAAATCATATCCGTGCCAACCATTTCTCTGCTCCGACCCCTTTTTTATTTCGTTGTTCATCTGCGGAATCTTCAGGGAAAAATCAAATTTCTTTTTTAATTTTTCGGGAAGGAATTTTTTCCAAAGACGTTTTTCAATTTTTCCTTAAAAAACCCATTTTGATCAAATATCAAGTGTCCTCTTAGTTAGGGAAAGGTCCGCAATATTTGCCTCTTTAAATGTCTTCCTTAATCAAATTATGTTTATAATCTATCGAAAAAGAAAAGTCTTAAAATATAAAATAATTTTTAGAATACCATGTTGATGTTTAAACAGGCAGAGGGAAGACTGGAGTGAATTCAATTAATCAATTACTTTAGATTTCTGGCATGTTGCGGCCTGTAGATGAAATTCCGCTTCTTGCTGCAGTCTTGGTGGAGGAAACCTTTGTATTTTAAAAGATTGACGCACCCTTCACATCGACCACTACCATATCTTCTGAAATAAATCTACAGAGCTCCAGATAGCGTGCGTATAAGCGTAAAATACGCATAGAAATCTAAAAAATACGCATCACTTTTCAAAATTCGTGCGTCAATGTTACGGCACAACAA